TCAGGAGCGAAGGTCCCTGGGATCATCCAGCAAGAATAATGCGGAGAGCGTGACCCTACCCAGAGAAGCAGTGACGCCAGGGATGGAGACAGAGCTGATGACGATGACGTGGACAGATGGAAAGGCTGGGGACACAGGGCTCAAGGAGAGAGAGGGACTGTGTGCAGACAGCCGGGGGTGGGGCAGCGGGCCTGTGGGGTGTATCCTTTGGTTGGTTGATGATGCATGGAGGGGATTGTAATCATTGCAATGAAACAAAATATGATAAGATGAATGTAAAACTGATGTTCTACATAATCCACAATAAAACCTACATAATCCACAATAAAAACTTAAAAAACAAACAAACATGAAGGAATCTGAAATGCAGATTACTAAGTCAAAGAACCCCTCTGGAAAAGGCTGCATACTATACATGAGGGTGCTCCAAAATGTTCATGGAAAAAATCTAGTATCTTTTCATTGCATTTTTTCCATGAACTTTTTGAAGCTCTCTCATATGACTCCAGGTATATGGAGATTTACAGCTCCAGAAACCACCCTATATGGGGTTGCTATGAGTCAGAACTGATGACGCCACATAACATAGGACATTCTAGAAAAACTGTAGAAGAAAAAGGTTAGTTGTTTGGGTATGGGGCACGGGGGAAGGGATGAATAGGTCAAGTGCAGGGCATTTTTACGACAATGAAACGATTCTGTGTGGTGTATTGATGGCTACCTGACATTATGCATTTGTTGAAACTTCTTGTTAGGTACTGTAGAGGCAATTTCCATCTCATAGAGACCCTTGTGACAGAGTAGAACTACCCCATAGAATTTTCCAAGCTGTAATCTTTATGGGGGAGTTGTGGTGTGGTGCTATCTTATAAGCATTGGACCGCTTATCCTCAGAAACACTATACAGGGTTGCTAGGAGTCAGAACCAACTCGACAGCATTAAACACAACAATGTTTATGGGACTGTTTCTGTGACAACCAAGTACTTAACCCTTGTACCACCAGAGTTCCTTGTCAAAACCCATAGGGCTGTATAACACAAACCCTAACTATGTTGTTGTTGTTGTTGTTAAGTGCCCTTGAGTCTGTTTCGACTCACAGTGACCCTGTATAGGGTTTTCCAAGGAGTGGCAGGTTAGTTTGAATCACCAACCTTGTGGTTCAAACCAACCTTATAGTCCAGTGCTGTAGCCCCCAGAGCCACCCCAGGACTTTAGTTAATGGATTCACATCAGTTAGTTATCTATGGTAACAAAGGTACCACACAAACTTAACATGTCAGATGTTTTGAAGAATTTACTTACTTACTGCAGTAAAAAAACACTCAGGCTTTTTCCTGGAGCAAGGTGTGCCTTCCATAGGAATCCTGGGCAGGACCAGTGGGGCCAGCTCCTCCCTGGGAATGTATTTCGTGTCCTCCAGGGGCTTTCAGAGCAGAGACAGAAGGAGGAAGGGCTAGAATCTCACTCCTTTGGTACATTCTCGTAATTCTCCTGACTCTTAGAGGGAATGGTGCTTCTCTGGAGCACCTGGAGAGGTGTAAGTGCAGCTGGGGAGGTGCCCCAGCTCCCAGAGGTCCTGCTTGCAGAGTAGGCTTTTTCAGCCTTGGGAAACTCTGAAGGTAGGGCCCCAGCAAGGCAGTGAGGTGGTTGAGGTTGGTCTAGGCTTGCTTCCTTGTTGGTGCCTTTGATCACAGGCACACCTCTGGTACCGTAGTAGTTATGAATCGGGCTGCGAACTGCAAGGTCAGCAGTTCAAAACTACCAGCTGTCCTGCGGGAGAAAGATGGGGCTTTCTGCTCCCGCAAAGATTTACAGCTTTGGAAACCCTGTACATGGTCGCTATGAGTCGGAACCAACTCCACGGAACATAACACCACCACCTCACTCTCACCTCTGGGGCAGGGTCCAGGCAACTCAATGCCTGGAGGGTCTTTGTTGGTCAGACATCCCACTCACCTGGAAAGGAAGTGAGGGAACTAAGACTTTCTTATTTTTTTTCTACGTTTTGAGCGCTTACTGGGTATGAGGCAAGGGACTGAGCTGGTTGGGGGTGAGCATGACCTCCGGAGCTTTGTTTAGACAAGTGTGGGTGGAAGGCAGAGATTGTCAAGTGCCACACGGTGGAAATTTGTGGAACTACAAGCAGAGGAACCAAATAAGGCTTGGTTTTCTGGAAATGGAACCGTTCCTGCATTCCTAGGAACTGAGATTTGGGGTTCTCTCTTTCTCAACTGTCATACAGGCCCCATGTCTGGGTCTCTGAGCAGCCAGTGTTTTTGTTCTACCAAACTTTGCTCACTGATGGTTTCACACAACGTGTTTACACATGTACAGTGGTAGGAGAGTTGTTTATTTTCTAAGCAAATTTAGTAGTTCCATATGCGAATTTTCTTTCTAAGAAGTCTCCTTGGAAGGGTGTCCATACTCCAGTAACATTGCCCAAGCCCGAGTTTTTCTAGATTCCTCTGAATAGTCCTTGAGAAGCCTGTTACCAAGTGGAAGGAGAAAACCTGCTTTTCCTTTATACTTGTCTTCTTTTCCTTTGTTTGTAATAACAAATGGTCTAATTCAGCTTTACCACCCACTCCAGATTACTTGTTTCCAAATATCAAATCCACTGAGGAACGGTAGGCTGGCGGTAGGAAGCAGCAGTTTGCTCTGGAGGGGAATTTCTAGAGGGGTGGGCAGCCACACAACAACAGCCCCTATAACCGCACCTCTTCCCCCTTGCTTCTGTTGACCCCCAGGTTTCGCTCTGGATTCCGGCTTGCTTTTCGATGCTGCCCATGGATCACGCCAACTGAGGAGGATAAGCTCGAGCTGACTCACACGCCCTCCCTCTCCGTGAGGGTCAACAGGTGTCACACTAGAGAGACTTTGTTCATGGCTCCTTCTGAGGCTACCAATGGGCAGGCTGGGAGTGGCCAAGAAGAGATGCCCACAGGATCCTGAAGTCCTGTGTCTGGCTGCAGAGTGAGGCTTAGTACCCATGGAGAAGTAGCCAATTGAGAGGACAAGAATAGAAATTTGGCCCATTTCCCCACCTTTTAATGCACCAATGGAAAACAAGATGGATCCTGGAGCTATGCAGAGAATGCTCATCAAAGGGCCCAGCCACCTTCCCAGAGTGCTTCAGGGGATCTGGGCCAAAGAAGACTGTGAATTAACATTTGTCTCAAGAGCTGCAAGCGCAGAAGCCAGATATACAACATACATATTTGAGTTGGGTCAAGTATAAAAGGTAACTCATACAAGAAATGGTGGGGATGGGGACAAACTGGAAGGAATAGGCATCCAAAGGGGACAGCTATGGACAATGGTTGCCACGAGGGAATGAGAGTCTACTGTTGTCAATCGTCTAGTCTTTCAAGAGAAGCCAGAAAGCCAAACCTTTAGACTGACTTTAAAATGTGGCTTCCATTTTCATAAATTTTGGATATTGTTGTTAAGTGCCTCCAAGTTAGTTCTAACTCATAGCAACCCTCTACGCTGCTTCTCAGAAACCCTATACAGGGTCATTATGAATTGTAACTGACTCGACAGCATGTAGCAAGGAGGCAAAAGAAACTAGCCTCAAGTCCCAACTGTGCTGCCACTGGCAAGTAAACCTCTTCTTCTTCTGCCCCAAGATAAAACTACCTCACAGGGGTGCTGTGGGAATCCATAGAGATGATGTCTTAAAGTGGACCAGTCACAGATTAAGTGCTCAGTGAATAGCAGCTATGACTTTTATTGCTGATGCCAGCCAGCTTACACAAAAGCTTCTTGCAAGTCTACAATACAGCGCCTACCTCCACTTCTGCAGCAAAGTGGCAGTCAGAGGATACCAACTGTCCTGACTTCCAGACAGTTCTGGGCTTGGTCCAGCTCACCTCACAGGTGTACCTCTCCCTGCCTGCCCACCCTTCCTTCCCACTCCCATTGCCCCTCCAGAAGAACCACATGACACTGTAAATGCACATCAAAAAACATTTAATGTGACCTGTGCTCTCCATAAAGGTCCACTGCCAGTGCCCTAAATAAGGAGACTCTGATGTCGCCAAAGTAGGCCTGCCGTCGGTCCTGGGGAAGGCCAACCAGAGTTATCATCATGACTTGGAGACTCAAATGGTACACCAATCCCCAGGGTACCACCAGAATGCTGACTGATGTGGGATCCACCAAAAGGCTGTGTAAGAATCCAACATGGTGGCCATGAGATGGAACAGCCATTGGCTGAGGGTGTCTGAGGTGGGAGCAGAGGCGAAGGGGTCAGGTAAGGATGAGTTTCTTGGGGAAGCAGTTAAATTTAAGATCAAGGAGGGAGTGATACAGCAAATGCTGGTACCCTGAGCTGCTTTGAAACTTCATCTGTGTTAGGGTAGAGGAAACTACTGAACCTGTTGTCTCAGAGTTGGCAGAAAGGGTGACAGAAGGGCTGCATCTACTTGGAATGCCAGCGAGGAGGACCATGGTGCACTGTCCTCTCACTAAACCCAGCTCCTAGAGTCAAGCTGCCTCTTTGTTCCAATTACAAGTTAGGAGGGCAGGGCAATAAAGATCATGATTGATTGGCATGGAGGGGATTGTAACCATGGCAATGAAACGAAATACGATAGGATGAATGTAAAGTTAATGTTTTCCCATGGAAACCATCACTTAATTCACAATAAAAACTCTAAAGAAAATAAAAAATTAGGATAACAATGCATCTGTCTGTGGACAGAGGTGTGCAGTTCTCTCCCCTCTACTAAAGTGCTGGGGTGGGGCTGCAGGACCCAGGGGCTAGAACTGACAGGACAAGTGCTGGAAAATCCAGGCAAATGATGCTTCAGTGGCATGCTTCACAGAGGTCCTTCCTTGTGCCAAATGAAGGTGAGTGGGGTCTAAAGGGTACAATCTTCATTTGAAGCTCTCTCCCGCATCCAGGTCACAAATAGCCCCACTGTTAGGTTTTCAACCTCCTTCCAAGACTTCCTTCCCCCTTCCCAGCCATTAAGCATTACTCAGGTCTTTCAGTTGGTACAAAGTTTACTAGGTCATACAACATGGCTCACAAAAGCGATGGGCAATTCCAGTGATGGCATTGTTGGTTGGTTGGTTCTTTTTACCCAAAATGGAGACAAGACATTTCCCACAGGATTGCCAACTCCCCCCACAAGACAAACAGAATGCAAGACAGTCACAATGGTGCTATGACTGGATCCACAGACACACGATTTGGTAGCACTGGCACGTCCCACTGGGGACTTGGGGCGCCACACAGCAGGCATTGGGTGCTGGGACGGAAGGAAGCCGCTAATGCAACGTCCACACACCTTTCAGGTGGCGCCCCTGGGAGACAGAGTCCCGGCAGTGTCTGCTGGTGATAATACAATTCACACAGGGGATGTGTCCCCAAGGATGGCGTCAGCGGCCCTAAGGCCTGTCCAAGAATGTGACTTTTCATCTCGAGCCAATAAATAACTCCATTGGATGGATGCATAAATTAGAAATGGGTGTCACTAGGCTTTACACGTGGGGAACGCACGACCAGGTGGAAATCAAATCATGCAGAGTGGCAGGGCAGGTGAGGAGGGATCTGAGGTGAGAGATTACCAGCAGCACACACTCTATCTTGTACCCTACTTTATATGCCATGAGTTGGATTTTTGTGTTCATCCCGGCTGCGGGAGGCAGGTTCCTGCACGGGCATCTCCCAGCACAACTCACTGGGAGGACCAGGGGTCTCCGCTCCAAGACAGAAGTGCTGGAAGGGCGGCAGGCGAGGCATCCTGGGCTCTTAGCTGCTTGGGGGCATTTCTCCTCGGAGCCGCACACCCACAGCCGTGATGAGCGCTGCCCCCTTGCCGCTACCGTCTTCTGACAGCAGGAAGGACACGGTGCACTGTGGTGACAGTTCCTTCACCGTTTGGTGCATGACACTGGAGAAGCTAGAAGAAGTGAAAAATAACACCGGGAGGTAGAGAAAGATGAGAAGAGGTGGTAGACCTAGCTAGCAATGCTAAAGCGCCTAACAGAGAGAGGAGGGAAACAGGATGAGGCTCCATTCAAACAGGAAGGTGCCTGGGAGTTTACACTGACAGTCATCATTTATAAACAAAGCTACAGTTTACAGGGGCCAGGGGATGGAGTGGGGATGGAGCAAAACATGGTTCCAACCACACAGCTTTATCCCAAACCACAGTTAGGAACTTAATGTCTACATTAAGCTGGGGAAAGTTGCTCCTAAACAAGGTTGCTCCTTATGGCCCCGTTTGCCTGGAACGGTCCCAGAGCAGTGATTAGTTGTACCCCTTTCACTGGCAAAAGTACCCCAATTTGAGCAATGAATTATACGGTCACTCAACAAATAAGAGTCAAGCTATGGGACATGCAGTGAATCCGAAAGATGTGTCCTCTGGCATTGGGTGTCAGGCACTCCTCAGCCACTGGCCTCCAGGGGACCTGGGTGACCAAAAGGAGGATGCTTCCTACCCCTACCTAACCTGAAGCCCAGGGCCAAAACTGCACCCACCCTTCCAAGTCTTGACGAGCTCTGGATTTAGCAGGCGAACAAAACAATGGGTCTTCATTCCCCCTTCCTTCACTCCCTCTCCACTGACTAAAGACAGCCTCAGCCAGGCTGCAGCTGGCCAGGTTGATGGGAAGCCCATGCCTACCTCTGCCTCCTTCCCTGTTCCCTATCCAGCCCAGACTCTGCCTGACTTTCACATCATACGTCTGGTCTGAGCTGGCCAGGTGAAGCCACTTCTCAGCCTCTTCGGGGATCCCAGCCACACTTCAGAGCTCATCACTATTTCGTCCTTGGACACGCTCAGCCTTCGGGCTGGTTCCCCCCTGGTGATGCTCCGGAAGCTCTGCTTATCTAAAGCTGAACCCACTTACTGTGGATGAAGTTTGAAGAGCGTTCCATCCACTCCCACAGTCACGTTCAGATGGTCCAGTTTCCTGTTCTCACGGATCTTGTCCACCACGGCAGCCATGCCTGCCCCACACAGCTGCGCCGCCCTCCTGGACACAACTCCACACACGGTCTTGACGAGGATACTGTCATCACAGGTGCTGTTCAGCCCCAGCTGCTGAAGGATGGTGCGGACTTGGAGCAGCGCTAATCGGTCACTGCAGTGGACAAAACCAGGAGGCTGGATGGAGTGAGGGGACCCGAAGGAGCAGCACAAGAGCCGAGTCCAGAGGACTGGCCCCAAATCACTGCCTACCCATGAGCAGAAGCGTGACCCCCCCACTTCAAATTAGAGTGTATTTATTTTTAAGTCACAAAAGGATTGCATGCCAAATTGTAGAAATTTGGACAAATCTAGAAAAATGTAAATTGGAAAATTAAAACTATCCACATTCCTAACACCCAAACAAATGAATTTAATATATTTCTTTCCCATCTATTTTTCCTGTCATAAAACAACTCTATAGTCTGATGATTTGAAAATGGGATCCCCCCTCACCCCTACTTAATTGTTGTTGTTGTGGTTAAGTGCTGTCGAGTAGGTCTCAACTCACAGTGACCCCATATAGGGTTTCCGAGGAGCAGTTCGTGACCTTGAGCCGCCAACTTTATGGTTCAAACCGACCTTGCAGTCGAGCACATTAACCCACAGTGCCAACCCTGCTTAACTGTTGTTGCTATTGTTAACTGCCATCGAGTTGGTTCCGACCCATAGCAACCCTACAAAGGAGCAGCTGGTGAGCTTGAACCACAGACCTTGCGCTTCAAACCGACTTTGCATTCCAGCGCATTAACCCACAGCACCACACCAGGACTCCACCCCTACTTAATTGTTGTTGTTAAGTGTCACTGAGTTGGTTCCGACTCACAGCATCCCTATATAGGGGTTTCTGAGGAGCAGCTGGTGACCTTGAACTGCCAAGCTTGCATTTCAAACGGCTTTGCAGTCTGGCACATTAGCCCACAAAGCCAACTGTTAAACACAGTGAAACCTGTGAAAGCTGGAACTTGCGGGGAATGCCTCGCTTTTCGGGGTCTCATGCGTTTTCCTGCACTGACAGCGTGCCATCTTTCCTATCATTTTCTATTAGTATAAAGTATGTGAGTTTCCTTCTCTGAAAGGTTTATGCATTACACAGGTTCCAGCTTTTGCAGGTGTCACTGTATTATCTGAGAGCAGGAAAGGGAACAGTCAGTGTCTCATTCTAGGATACACCGTAATTAGAGAAGAGAGTAGCATTACACTATGATTTAATTTCTTAATACTAAGAATAACTTTTTTTTTAAATTTAAACTACCTATTAGGTCATATTTCATATGAACTACCAACTATGTCCCCAAACACTTTTCCCCTGAAGTATCTATCTCTGTCTTATTAAACTGAACTGATGACAATGATGGCGACCGTGACAATAGCTGCCAGTCTATCCTGAGGACGTTCAAACCCACCAGCGGCTCCTTGGAAACCCTACACCGGGTCGCTATGAGTCAGAACTGACTCAAGAGCACGTAACAACAACTACGTGACAGACACTAAAGTGCCTCATTGACTTCTCCTACCAATCAACCCACTTCAGAGATGAGGAAACTGAGGTTGGGAGAAATTGACTAGCTCCCTCCAGGCACCTTCAGCAGGGTACAGCCAGGTCTTAAGTCCAGGCTTCCTGAGGCCTTGACCACTAAGTCATGCTCTGTTGCATACAAAACAAGTTTTCCTCAGTTTGCCTTATGAGCTTGATTACCTTCCCCCAACCCCTGCTTTTTTTCTCATTTACAGAAGCTTAATTATAATGTAGCTAAATTTGGTCGTTTTCATTTTGTTATTTAAAGCTTAAAACACCTTTCCCACAGAGATCAGAAAACTATTCACTGATGCTCTCCAGGATCCACCTGGGATGACAGAAAGGTGGTGGTCACTCATTTTCTGCTCACGAGGCACACACAGCTGACCCCTGAGCTGAGCCTCACTTCCTTCCAAGGCTGTCCAATTGCCCTCAGCCTGCTCAGGCCTCCTGGGGGCATTGTTGTTGCCCTTCATCTGCTGCTGGCCCCTGACTGCCTTGGGTCTGGTGGGCGGTGAGATTTACAGATACAGGCATGGCGGAAACCAATGGAGAAAAGCTAACAGGCTAGTCAGCGAACGTCATTGTTCTTTCTCCTTTAAGGCTCTTATTAAAAGGGAGGCAACACGGACACAGCTGGTTTTGCTTTACAACAGCACTTTTCTACCTTCACTCACAACTTGGTTTGGAAGATGGCAGAGCAGGGATGGAATGTGCTCACTCCACATGGGAAAACCAGGAGGGAGGCTGATGTGACTTTCATAGGGTACACACTAGATGATGAAAAAATACTTGTAGTGGGGCTAGGCACTGGTTCTTGGCTCTGTCAGACTCAATGCCCCTCCAATACTAGTATGTTTAAAATATCTTTAATGTTCCTTATTGCTCAGTGCTGTCAAGTCAACTTTGACAGCAACCCCTCGTAGCAGCTGAGTTCCCCGGACTTTGATAAGGCTGTTCTGTTAGCATTACAAAAACAGGTCACCAGGTCTTTCCCCAGCAGCTGGGGGTGTAAAGCTGAATGCTTAACCATTTGTGCCGCCAGCCCACCTCTTAATGCCCTTTGGCCACCTTAGAATGGATTCGTATAGCCACCTATACATATATTTTCAAAGGAACTGGGCTGATAGCTCCTAAACCAGAGGATAAAGAACAGACCCCTGCTAACCCCCATCAGGAACCTCCGGCCAGGCCGACCTCTCACCTCTCAATCTGAGAGAGAAACTTGGTCTCAAAGATGCCCCGCGTCTTCAGGGTCTCAGAGATCTGCCCTCGGAAGAGAAAGCCCTTCTTGGTGAAGTCGATCAAGATGTTGCGGACGATCTCCCCTAGGTACATGCCGCTGATCATCTTCTCAAACCTGAAACAATTGGAGGAGCGGGTCCTGTGAGCCATGACCAGGACTGCCAGCCCCCTCGGTCTCGGTGACTCCAGGCCCCTTCCTGCCCCTCCAGGACACCAGCAGCAGCCATGTACCCAGCAGGCCCCCTCCCTTCAACTCCGGCAGATGACCAGGAGAGGAAGGCCAGAGAGGACTGGGAAATCCACAAACCAGAAGTAAAGTCAAGTGTGAAGGTAGACCACCTTCCTCCTCACCTAAGTTCCTGCCCCTGGCCTGGTCAACCCCCATCCAGCTCTCAGCTCAAACATCACTTTCCTGAAAAGTCTTTTCTCCTCTCCAGACTGGGCCCTATCTGCCCGCTAAGGGCTAAGACATGGGAGAGTGACAAGGCCAGGCAGGCTGGAGAGTCAGGTGGCCACAACACACCTGAGGACAGCCTACTCTTGGATTCATACTTTCCTGCCCTCTCCAAACTCAAAAGAAGATGGAAGGGATACACAGAAGTGGTCAGTGTTCAGCCAGTTCAAGAGGTAGCATATGATCAAGAACTAATGGCACTGAAGGAGGAAGTCCAAGTTGCATGAAGGCATTGGCAAAAAACAAAGTTCCAGGAATTGATGGAATACAAATTGAACTGTTTCAACAAACGAATGCAGCACTGGATGCACTCACTTGTCTATACCAAGAAATTGGGAAGACAACTACCGGCCAATCAACTGTAAAAGATCCATATCTGTGCCCATAACAAAGAAAGGTGACCCAACAGAATGCTGAAGTCACAAAACAACATCATTAACATCACATGAAAGTAAATTTTGCTGAAGATAATTCAAAAACCAGTTGCATCAGTACATTGACAGGGAGCTACCAGAAATTCAAGCTGGATTCAAAAGAGGAGGTGTAATGAAGGATATCATTGCTGAAGTCAGATGTATCTTAGCTGAAAGCAGAAAATGCCAGAAAGATGTTTACTAGTGTTTTATTGACCATGCAAAGGCATTCAACTATGTGGATCATAACAAACTATGGACAAAATTGCAAAGAATGGGTATTCCAGAACACTTAATTAGGCTCATGAGGAAACTGTCCAAAGACCTTGTTTAAACAGAACAAGGGGACACCGAATGGTTTAAAACCAGGAAAGGTGTGTGCCAGGGTCATATTTCTTCACCACACTTATTCAATCTGTATTCTGAGAAAAAAATACACTAAGAAGATCCATTAACAACCTGTGATATACAGATGACACAACCTTGCTTGCCGAAAGTGAAGAAGACTTAATATATTGACGGAGATCAAAAACTAGCTTTCAGTATGGCTTGCACCTCAATGTAATCCTCACAACTAGCCCAATAAATAACATCATAATAAATGGAGAAAAGACTGAAGCGTCAAAGACTTCATTTTGCTTGGATCCACAATCAATACTCATAGAAGCAGCAGTCTAGAAATCAAAAGATGAGAGGGACCTATTACCATCAAGATAAAAGAACCAGGAGTGAAGTGTATCCTTTTGACTTGGAGCCCTGTACTGTGAAGCTCCTAGATTCAGGGAGGGGAAGACTGATGTCAGGGCATTACGAGATCTTCAAGGATGCTGGACCCACAGATGCTGGCAGGAGATTAGGGCCTCTCTCCAGAGCCCAAAGATAAAACCTTCACTCTGAATTTGGACAGCTAGCCTCCTAATCTGTGAGAGAACACATTTCTGTTTGTTAAAAGCAAAAAAAAAAAAAAAAAAAAAAAGAAACCAAAAGACATATTGCATTTGGCAAACATGTTGCAAAAGGCCTCTTGGAAATGTTCAAGAAGAGTAAAGAGGTCACTTTGAAGACTAAGGTGCGTCTCTGACCCAAGCCATGGTATTTACAACTGTTTCATATGCATGTGAAAGTTGGACAATGAATAAGAAAGACCATAGAAGAATTGATGCATTTTAGTCATGGCGTTGGAGGCCACTATTGAAAGTACCATGGACTGCCAGAGAAACAAACAAATCTGTTTTGGAAGAAGTGCAGCCAGAGTGCTCCTTGGAAGCCAGGATGTTGAGACTTCATCTCTCATTCTTTGGACATGTTGTCAGGAGGGACTGTCCCTGGAGAAGGACAACTTGCTTGGTAAAGTGGAGGGTCAGCGGAAAGAGTAAGACCCTCAGCAAGATGGACTGACACAGTGCCTGCAACAACGCACTTAAACCGGACAAGGCTGGTGAGGATGACGTAGGATTGGGCACAGGGGTCGCTTAGTCGGAAGTGACTCAACAGCATCTAACAAAAACAACCACACTCAAGGATCTCTAACAGTGACAGGGGATTCAAGTGCTTCGGCATCACACACCAAGCCCAGTGTCCCCACACTGGGACGATTTCACAGGTGACAGTCCAGGTGATGTCAGGTGGTCCATGGAGAAACCTGGCAGAACACAGACTCACAGAGGAGGGCCTATTATGAAGGATGGCGTGATTCCTGGCACCAAAGGAGGTCTGAGACAAAGGGTCTTTTGGGCATCACTATACCAGTGTGAGGTCTGAGCGGCAAAGCTCCCAACCACCACTAGATGGCAGTGGTGGCTCTCTGTAGGATAGATGAATGGAGAAAAGGGCTCAGTTTTACCTAGGCCTCCACAGTACCCTTCGCAAATCCTACCCCTGCTCAGGCTATATTCTAATTTCCCTTGGCATTGGCTCTCTGATGGTCCAGTAGGTTTCAATGTTATAAAACAAAATAAAACCCTGCTGACCAACTGGTTTCTATTTCACTGGGGAAGAAATAAGAGCAAAAAGAAAGCCACAATCACCCAGGATGACAAAGTCTCTGAGGGAAGTAGCGTGGCCACACTGTTCTCTGGGAATTTTCTAGGCAGAGGTGGTTCCTGTCCAGGAAGTTAATCACTCGCCATCTTGTACCACACTTCCTGGCTCTCTGCTGCCATTGGACCAACAAGCCAAGGTCAGGAGGAAAGCGATGGTCTCCTGGAGGCAACCTCCACCCACTAGACCCACTAGAAGCTTTTTCCATGGGGAAAGGCAGATGCAGCCACATTCTCTCCCCACAGACCACACCACCACTGACCGCCCTCTCAATGGTCTCTTCCATTTACCAAGCACATTTACCTTTGTTTCCCTGAGTTCAGAGAATGTTCATCTACCAGTTTATCATAGTTGGTTCTGATATCGTCCAGACACCCGTTGTCCCCAAATGCACCCCATTCCATGTTGATACACATTTGTCCATGGGTCCCCCCGAGCATCTCAACATTCTTCATCTCTTCCATGTAGCAAGCATTGCTGCCCGTCCCTGAAACGCAGAGGAAGGGATGTGAACGGCCAGACCTCCATGCTTGGGAGTCTGGGATTCTACATTTATGGGAGTTGATACATATTTTCATAGACTTTACTTTTTGGGGTAGTTTTAAGGTTACTGAAAAGTTGTGCAGAGAGTACACAGCTCCGTATGCCCCCAGCACTGTCTGTCCTATTTTTAACACCATGTCTACCTGTGGGCACATTTATGAATGATGTTGCTGTTGTTAAGTGCCCTCGAGTCGATTCCGACCCATAGTGACCCTGTATAGGGTTTTAAGGAGCCGCTGGTGAGCTTGAACCACCAACCTTGCAGTTCAAATGACTCTGCAGTCTGACGCACTAGCCCACAGCATCACACCAGGATTGATACTCACACATTATTATTAGCTCAAATCCACAGTTCACATTAGTGCTATGCTAATCCTAGGATTTTGACAAATGCTTAATATCATTTATCTACCAATAAAAGGTAAGCACTGGACTACTAACCAGCAAGTTTGGAAGTTCAAACCCACCAGCCGCTCCTTGGGAACCCTACGCAACAGGAGTGGGGTACGCCCAGCCTGCAGACTGTTGTTGGTTGTTGTTGTCAGGTGCCATCGAGTCGGAACCGACTCATAGCGACTCCATGCACAGCAGAACGAAACAATGTTCGATCCTGGGCCAACCTCACCACCGCTGCCACCCCCGAGTCCATCAATGATGCCACCTGGCCGATCCATCTCGTTGGAGGTCTCCCTCTTTTTCTCTGACCCTCCACCCCACCCAGCATGACATCCTTCTCCAACGATTGTTTCCTCCGGACTACATGTCCAAAGTAGGAGAGACGAAGCTTAGCCATCCTGGCCTCCAAGGAGCACTCTGGCTGCACTTCTTCCAAAACAGATCTATTGGTTCTTTTGGCAGTCCATGGCACCCTCAGTATTCTCCTCCAACACCACAACTCAAAGGCATCAATTCTTCTACGATCCTCTTTATTAACTGTCCAGCTTTCGCATCCATATGAGGCTATTGAAAACACAATGGCCTGGGTCAGGCGCACCCTAGTCCTCAAGCTGACATCTCTGCTCTTCAATACTTTAAAAAGTTCCTGTGCAGCAGATTTGCCCAGTGCAATACGTCTTCTGATCTCTTGACTGCTACTTCCGCGAGTGTTGATAGTTGATCCAAGAAGAATGAAGTCCTTGACAACTTCAATCCTTTCTCCATTGATAATAATGTTGTTTATTGGTCCAGTGGTGAGGATTTTTGTTTTCTTGACATTGAGATGCAATCCATATCGAAGGCTGTGCTCTTTAATCTTCATAAGTAAATATTTCAAGTCCTCTTCACTTTCAGCGATCAAGGTTGTATCATCTGCACATCGCAGGTTGTTAATGAGTCTTCCTCCAATCCTGATGCCACGTTTTTCTTCATAGAACCCAGCTTCTCGTATTATTTGCTCAGCATACAGGTTGAACAAGTATGGTGAAAGAATACAACCCTGTCTCACACCTTTCCCAATTTTAAAACTTTCAGTGTTCCCATGTTCTGTTCGAACAACTGCTTCTTGGTCTAGGTACAGATTTCTTAGAAGTACAATTAAGTGTTCTGGAATACTCATACTTCTCAATGTTGTCCATAGCTTGTCATGATCCACACAATCAAAAGCCTTTGCGTAGTCAATAAAGCACAGGTAAACATCCTTCTGATATTCTCTGCTTTCAGCCAAGATCCATCGGACATCAGCAATGATATCTCTCGTTCCACGGCCTCTTCTGAATCCAGCTTGAACCTCTGGAAGTTCTCTGTCAATGTATGACTGTAGCCGTTTCTGTATTACCTTGAGCAATACTTTGCCTGCAGACTGTAAGGCCCACAAAATCATTTGGGATGGTCTTGATGAGGCAACCACTTTCTGAGCCCTAACATTCGGGGTGAGTTAATTAAATGTTTGACCAACTATAACAGGCTAATTTTTAAGTTGATAATTTTGTATGGCCCACAAATGATGTTACAAATATGGCCCTTGTCCCCACCCATGCTATCCCGGCTTTTAACAACAACCACGGTATCAGGCAGAATAGTTTTGTTGTCCCCAAAATGTCCTGTGCTCCACCTATTCATCCTGCTCCACTTCCCCAAATTTCTGGTAGTGATGTTACCTCATACTGTTGTTGTTGTTAGGTGCCGTTTCAACTCATAGCAACCCTACGCACAACAGAAGAAAACACTGCCAGATTCGACGTCATTCTCACAATTGTTACGGTATGCATACAAGTCCTTTATAAGCTATTTTGCAAATATTCTCTCCCACGGGTATATATTTTTTAAATGAACAAAGTAATAGCTTCTCTTTTCTAATGTTTTGCAGAAAACCTTCCAAATATAAATGGAGAGTCTGAATTAAGCCATTTAGGGAGCATGTGATTGGCTTATTTTATACTTAGGCATCAGTACTAAGGTCCTAGTATATCAACCTGTCCAAGTCTGTATTGCTTCAAAATCATAGAAACCATTATCAAACCAAAATGTTAAAATGTGAAGTTACTGTTTCTCAAAATCTCCTCCATCTAGTTTTATACACTTCTGAAGGTGGTGTTCCCAACTCTCTAACTCTTTCCAGAAGAATTCTGTGCTCTGTGATTTATACTATGTCAAAACGGCCAATGTTGGCATCCTCGAAGGCCTTATATCGTGTTCCTTTTAAATGTTCTTTGAATTTGAGGACAAAATGAAGTTTGAAGAGGCAAGACCAAAGCTATAGGGTGGATGGGAGAAAGCTTCCCAATGAAATTCTTGTAGGACAAGCCCTTGCTACCCCTGAAGAATGAGCAGGTGCAATCCTGTGATGGAAAAACTCTCCTGGCCTTTTCTCACCAGCACACTTTTCAATTGTCTTAAAACCTCTTCAAAATAACCCTTCATGACTGTCCTTTCTTCTTTGAGAAAATCTATCTATATTACCTCTTTGGAATTAAACCAACAGTTGCCACAACCTTCAGAGCTGACTTCTCTGCCTAATTCAGCATATCCCCTGGGAAGCCACTGTTGGGATTGGACCTTTATTTTGAAGGTCCCCTAATGAGACTAAGTGGGCTCAAGCGTAGCAACAATTGTGAGGTTGGTGCAGAACTGGGCAGTGTTGCATTCGGTTGTACATGCGGTCTCTGTGAGTCAGTACCTAGACTAGATGGCACCTAACAACAACAACAACAATAAATTACTGTAAGGACTTGTCTGCCACCATCCAATGATCATAGAGACATGTTTGGACACGCTTTGTTTGGAATAAACCTGTGCAAGTATGAAGTAGAACCTTAGTAGCAATACTTTTTGACTCACACTCATATATATAAGGAGCCCTGGTGGTCCAACAGTTAAGTGTTCAGCTGTTAACTGTAAGACTGGTGGTTTGAACCCACTTAATGGCTCCATGGATGCAGGGGAGAGATGAGGCTTTCTGCTGCTGCAAAGATCTGAAGCCTTGGAAACACTATACAGGGTCGCTGTGAGTCGGAACCAACTTGAAGGCACCTAGGAACAAGCAGTTCCACCGAGGCAGATCAGGCAATCTGCTTCTGTAAAAACCACAGACAAGAAAACCCTACGGACTGTTCTACTGTCACACCGGGCTGCATGAAGGAGAACTGACCCCACGCTTCCCAACAATACCACTACCACATCTGCATGGATGTACAAGGTTGCTGTGTGTGCCATCAGTTCCAACTCGTTCACTGTGACCCTGTGTAGGGTTTCTGAGGCTGCAAATCACTGCAGGAGCAGAAAGCCTCATCTTTCTCCCAAGATGTGGCTGGTGGGTTTGAACTGCCAACCTTGTGGTTCTCCTATAGCACCATCAGCCCTCAATGTTGCTGTTATTAAGTGCCGACTCATGGCAATCCTATATATGGTTTTCGAGGAGTAGCTGGTGGGTTTGAACTTCTGACCTTGTGGTTCGCAGTCTGGTACTGACCCTACAGTGCTACACCAGGAGTCCAGTCCTCAACATACATAGAAACATTCTATACTTGGCATTGTCTATGATTATGGTGTCTGTAAGTGGAGCAAATGGGTAAGTGGTTGACTACTAAACTCAAGGTGGGCAGTTTGAACCCACCCTGAGGTGTCTTGGGAGAAAGGTTTAGCAATCTACTTCTGAACGATTAAAGTCAATGAAACCCAATGAAACCCAAGTCTACTCTAGCATACATAAGACAGCCATGGATTAAAATTGACTTGAAAGCAACTATTTATTAGTTACTATCATAAACAATCATAAACATCTTTTTAAAGATGGCCATGGACTATGCCTTGTTGTTGTTGTTAAGTGCCGTCGAGTCAGTTCCGACTCATAGCGACCCCGTACAGGGTTTCCAAGGCTGTAAATCTTTACGGGAGCAGAAAGCCTCATCTTTCTCACGTGGAACAGCTGGTAATTTCAAACTGCTGACCTTGCGGTTCACAGCCCGATTCGTAACCACTACACTACCTGAACTCCTTTGGACTATGCCTTAGGCCTGTTCAATAAACTCTCTTGCATGTTTTGAAATAAATTCACCATGATTTCAGGCAAGACAATGTCCAAAGCACAACAAGTGTGTCTTCCAAAGGCAATGAGTCCTCTTGCTGGACTGTCATAGCTCTCTTTGGGAATCTGATGATTTCCCCAAGAAAACCGAACATCTGTGTGGGTCTGTCCACACATGGTCCCCACACACAAGATGACATACGGCTTCCAGGGCTATTCAAAGTGTGGTCCAGAGCTGGGTGATGTCCAAGAAGAATTAAGTAGAGAAACTGAGAATAAGCATTCTCAAAGTTTTATAATGGTTTGAATTCCCATGATTTCCAAGGCTTGTGATCATTGGACTTGGCTCAGTGAGTAACTAGAAATTTAAAACCAAACAAATAAACAGAGTCCCACACACAGATAATTTTAACACACACATGAATCACCTGGGGATGCAGATCCTGACTCGGGAGGTCTGGGGTGGGGCCTAAGACCCTGTATTTCTAACAAGCCCCTTGGCCCACCGACCACACTCTGGAACCAAGACAGAGAGCACCGGTGACCCATCCTGGGTGGGACAGAGCTACACAGGCTTTGGGACATTTCCATCATCATAGAAGAAACTCAGACAGAATTTGGATTTTTCCATTTTTGTCCTCTCTGCTCCTTTTCACTCTAAGTATACAACAGAGAGAGAAGAGGCCCCCAGAATGGCCAGACATGGAAATCCTATTTCTTGTCCATAGGACTTCTGAGCAAAGAGATTCATGGATGGAGGAAGGGAAAAGTGGTTGAACCCACTTTTGTGCGGCTGAAGAGGCTCCCTCAAAGCTGGTGCCAGCCACGGTGACTCGTGCTGTAGAGCAGGCCTGGGGGAGGAGGAGATGTGCTGTGTCATCCCAGCTTTGCATTTTACACCTAAGCTCCTTCACTGGGAGGGGCTGGGTGGAGTGAGGTTTGCAAAAGAAAAGATGAAAACAAAACATTCCCTAAGCCAGGCACCAAACAATTTTCTGCTTGGAGTTGCTCCCCAGCTTTGAGAATTCCAACATAGGCCAAATATGGTTTAACAAGGAGATGGTCTTTCTGGCCTAACCTCGTTTGCTGGCGCTCCATCACCATCCCTTGACCTTCAACAGGGGTGACAATGCCCTTCCTTCTCCGGGTAGCGTCTGCAGACGTTGGTGAGAAACTAGGGCCTATTCCCAGCATCCTCTGACACCAGGAACAAGATGAACTAGACAAATGGTTTCCTCACAGCCTAAAGCAGTATGCTTTAGGAATTATATGTGTTCTAGACCCAAATCCCTGAATGTGTGCAGAATACAAAAGAAAGACCGTAGAGCCAACAAGTAACTCTTATGAGACCTACATCACAGATAGAGACTGTTAATACAAAATGGCGTCCAAGATCACGCTCTTTGACCCTTGGGCACTTCAAAGACTGTCAGGAGAGAACTTCCTTCTCGGTCTGACTCATTCCCTGAGCCCCTCCATGCAAGCCCAAACTGAGCTGCCCCATTGACCAGGCCAGCTTCAGGCACCTCCACCCCCACCCCATCTACCCAAATGGCGTGACGCACCTGGAACCTTTTTCCTAGAGAAAAGTTTTTGACAATCTGATCATAGAATCCCACCCACAAGTTAAAGCACATGGACAGCCCTGCAGCCTTGGTCCAGGACTAGATCCTGCCCAGAGGCGGTGAGGGAACGGAAGTGACGCCAGCACACACTGAGGGTTTCTTTCTTTCCCAAGGGAAGAAAACCTGCTTTCCATTCTCCAGAGACAGAGACAACTTCTAGACACTCACCTACAATGAGTCCAACCTCACAGGTGGGTTCCTCATACGCACAGGTCATCATGGTACCCACTGTGTCATTGACCACAGCTACCACGTCCAAGTCAAATTCCTTTGAAAAGAAAGAAAACACAGGTTTAAGGGAGGGGCAGCTCTGCCCAGCTCGAATCCTGGGGGCTCACTGCTGCACACCAGTCAGGAAACCACTGGTATAGAACTCAAGATGGTTTCTTTACCACCCACAAAACATTATTCAATGCTCCTTTCACTGATTAATGCTTACTAGTGATAATGAATCTGAAAACTGAGATCTAAGGAGGAGGAAGTATTCTACCCATTTTACAGATGGTGTGGATTCCTGGTGTGGTGCTGTAGGATCAGCACTGGACTGCGAACCACAAGATCAGCAGTTCAAATCCACCAGCTGCTCCTTTAAAACCCTATACAGTGTCTCTATGAGTTGGAACCGACTCCACGGCACTTAAGAGCAAAAATCAGAGTAGCAGCCATCAAGAAATCATCGAATGGAGAACAATCAAGGGACAATAGTCACAGGGTTCAGAGGGTAACATAGAAATAGCAAATCCATGAAAAATCAGAATCTGTTCTTCAGAAATGGCCATGCAGGGACATAAGGGCACATGCACAAGGATACAAAATGCAGCAAGATTTGCAACAGCTGCTTCTGTTGTTGTTGTTAAATGCCATCAAGTAGGTTCCCAGTCACAGTGACCCTGTAAAGGGCTTCCAAGGAGCAGATGGTGAGTTTGAACTGCCAACTTTGTGGTTCACACCAACCTTACCATCCAGTGCTTACCCTATATGGCACCACATGAGAGGTAAAGGTGCCCTGTGGCACTGTGTGTTAAACACTGGGTTGGTAGTTCAAACCCACCAGCTACTCCATTGGAGAAAGATGAGGCTGCCCCTTGAAAGTCTCAGAAACCCTATAGAGCAGTTCTACTCCGCCCTACAGGGTCGCTACAGGATAAATGACAGGGGGTTTTCAAGACCCACAGGGACTGTGGAAACCACGGTTCAGACATATAGTACAATCTTGTGCAGACAGGAAAAATACTGCTTATACAGGCACTGAGTGTCAAGAAAAAAATGTCCATATCGTTAAATTAAAAAGCAAGTTATAATGTAGTACATAGGAGCATGGTAGCTCCATACGATAAGCACTGGACTGCAAACCACAAGGTCCAGGGCTTGAGGCCACCAGCCGTCCATGGGAGAAGAGGAGGGTTTCTGCTCTTGTGAAGATTCAAAGCCTCAGAAACCTTATCCAGGGTCGCTGTGAGTTGGAACCAACTCAACGGTACTTAACAACAACCACAATATAGTACACAGGTTAAGCAGATAAATGAACAAACATGGACACAGGAATCTTTACAATGAAAAACTCAATCTTGTTTGGCTCACCCTTCCAGGTTCTCTAAGCCTTGGGGTTATATGCCTTTCATTGTTTTTGAGTTATTTTACAATTTTTAAAGTTGTAGGTAACTGATAATAATGTTATTCTCATCTATAAGGATGCAAATACATTGTGCCAGGTAGAGTCTCAGTTGATGGTCCCCTTCTAGCCAATTAATCTCAAATACATTCCTTTCACCACACAATACCTCTACGTATACATGGGTGGGGGGCCTTGAAAATGTTGGTGCAGAAATTCCATTAGCTTTTAAATCCATTGTTCCAAGAACTTTTTGAAACCCCCTTTGTATTTCTCTGCTCTTTGTACTGTCCTTTGAACTGACTTGTTTCACTTCCTACGGGTTCCCGCATTAATGAAAGAATTGAATAAAACCTGTAGCATTTTCACTTTGTGCTTATTAATGTCCTCCAGCTTAACCACCAGAAACACACCTGTTGTTGTTGTTGTTAGATGCCATGAGTCTGTACCGACTCATGGCGCCCTTATGCGCAGAAGGAAATGAGGCCAGATTCTGGAGGTGAACAAAGCTGTTGCTGACTCATTGTAGTGTGAAAGAATAAACACCAGGGGGCACACTCTGGAGCACCTCAATCAAAAAGTACATACTGGTAGAATTCAGGGTTTGGGCCTGTGTTGTTGATCTGGGGAACTTGGCTTTGTTCTAGATTGGGTGCTGTCAGGGAGCAGGGGTAATTATACATGATTGAGTATCTTAATAAACCTTTTCTAGAAGCCAGAGGAATGAAGGAAGGCTGAAGCTGTAATTGGTAAAGCAGCAGCACTCTTTGGGATTAGCCAGGAGAGGGATGTTGGTACAATGTTTGGAGTTCTGACAGGATCGTGGAAGGTCTTAATCCATCCTGGTTTCACTGCGAAGCAGGAAAACAAGGCCAGCTCCTAGCTGTTCCATCATCTAAAAGGCGGGCTGCCAGGGATTGCTCTTCTCTTTCAAGGAGCCCCTGGTGGCACTGTGGCCTGCGGTGGGCTGCTGATCTCAAGATAAGCAGCTCAAAGCCACCAGCTGCCCCGCAGGAGGACAGATGAAGCTGTCTGCTTCCTTAAAGAGTTAAAGTCTTAGAAGTCCTACACTGGGTCATTATGAGTTGGACGTTTTTTTACCTTTTAATCATGAATTGTATGACGGTTGACAGAGTAGACCATCAGTGTACTTTCAACAAATCGCACAGTTCATTTCATCTCACTGACTGTCACCTCCTCGGTGTAATATCACCCATCCCACGTCCCCTGTGGGTTTCTTGTGTCCATCCCTCCTTCTTTCCCCACCCTTCTGAACTTTGTCCTTGGGTAAATGTTGCCCTTTCGATCTTGAGCAGTTGACCGTTCTACAGTATGCGGACCTCACTAGTGTTCTTATAACCCTATCGACTGCTCAACCAAAAAGTGAGCCTTTTCTTCTTCCCCATTTCCTTTCTCAATTTGCCAAGAGTTCATGTTTCTTAAAAAAAAAGGAAAATGATTCTTTAACATGACAAAAATGTAACCGCTGGCTTATCACTGGTAGGTGAATGTGAATGTTGTATTACACCTAGGTCATATTTCTGGATTCCTTGAGTTCTTTACAACAAATAAATACAACTTTTAGAACAGCCCCCCTTTGAAAACAAAACATTTTTTAAACGTTTTTTTGATAGTTACCTCTCTCCTTTTTATCGCATCCCTTAGTAAGGTAGCTACATCATGGCCCACACAGTCAGTCGCCGTGAAACCCTTTGTCCACGTGATCAGGATACCCTGGAATGGTATCAGTAGAGTCCGGTAAAATGAATCCTCTCAGACAGACCACAAAACACCACACCCTCCCTTCTGAGACTGCATCTGCTGAGGGCCTACAGCAAGGCACAGACCACTAAGACCCCAAGAGCCATAGTCCTCTGCAGGCCTACTGCCTCCTGCTGTCCTTATACCACCTGGTTACAACCCCATTGTACAGATGGAGAAACTAAGGTACAGAAGGTTAAAAGACATGCTTGAACTGCTTTCAAAAGTCACCCTGACTGTGAAAACTGAAAACCAAGCTCACATGGATCCAATTACTGAGACTTAAAGGTGTGTAACAGAGACAGGATTAACTAGCTTAAGGAGGCAGGCCTGTTCTCCTAAAACTGCTGACTCACATGCCTTAAACCCTGCCCTAAGGACTGGTGTGGTCTGAGGCCACCTTCATGAGGTCACCTCCAGGACCTTCTCCCTGGTCACACCCTACCTATGACACACATAGCTACCTGGGGCTTTCTCAACAGGACAGGCTCCACCTGGCCTCCATGATTCTGCACAACTGGCTTCTGCTGTCTGGAATTTACCCCTCCACCTCCACCTCAATGCGGGGTGCAGAAGCTACTGTGTAAGAGTATGGTGTCCACATGAGACTGTGGATCCCTGGGTCAGCAACTACACACCCTTCAACTCTGCACCCAGTCCTGACCCCAGACTTCCTTTTCAACATTTGATCCATCCTCTAATAGGACCCTGGATGGGGGATTGGGGTGAGCAGACCCTTGTTCAAGCATCTTACAACATTGCAGCAAAGAAAACCAGTGGCTGTCCCAGGCACATTGGGGATGAAGCAGAGGGGAAAAGGCCAGGGCCCTCCAGTGCACGAGATGGGACGAGAGGTACTCACCGCATCTAAGCTTGTCTGCTTGCAGGGGAAGGAAAATGTGAAGCCCAGAGGCATTCTGGGGCCTTTGATTCCCATGTAGTCCAGAAAGTCAGAGATGCAGGAGACGATGTGGTCAAACAGCTTTAGGAGAAAGCAAAGCATTACCCATATTCTCTCTGGTTTCATATGGACAATTAAACACACTTTCACACACACCTTTACACCCACACATACACTAATGTATACAGACATGTGCACATACATTGACTTCCATACACGAGCATGTACGCACACATATCCTGGACACATGAAGGCACGCTCCTTTCTCAGATCTCTACAGTCACCTGAGTGCCATAGGCCAACCATGGCTCAAAGGACCCAAGTGCATAGGTGTGGCCTTGTGGTTCTGGGGACCACCGAGGCCACTGGTCACCTGAGTGAGACACGCACCGCCCACTTCTTCCCGCCTCACCTCTTCCCCGGTGCCCTGCATGATTTCAGTGGGAATGGCATAGATCTTGTTGTGCATTTCCACGGTTCTCTTTTTCCCACTACGGATCTTCACCAGCAGGACGCGGAAATTCGTTCCTCCGAGATCCAGGGCCAAGAAGTCACCATTTTCTGTTGGTACAAGAATGTGACGAATGTCAAAAACAGTTGAGTGCCTCAGCAGCAAAGAACCCCAAGACTCAAGACTTGCAGGGTCAGAACCCCAACACTAAGTACAAGGGAGAGACGGCCAGCCCTCCCCGGGCTGACACTGCCCAGCCAGCAGGCCCCCACTAACCACCACACACTTCACTTCTAGTCCTTGAATGACACTCTAAAGGCATGGGCCATTTGTCACGGTTAATCCTCTGGCTGCTGAAGACCCGATTTTAGGAAGTCGCATGTGAGAAGTAGTCATTTATGTCCGTATGGGGATGTTTGCGAAAACAGCCACCCTCATTCCCTTCTCTACTTCCACGCCTCTCTGCAGTGCGCCCATGAAAACATGATGTCTACTTCTCCCCTTAAGAAGCTCTGGTAGCGTAATGGTTATGAAACGGGCTGCAAACTGCAAGGTCAGCAATTCGAAACTAACAGTCGCTCCGTGGGAGAAAGATGAGGCTTTCTGCTCCCATAAAAATTTATAGCCTTGGAAACCCTGTACGGGGTCTCTATGGGTCAGAACCATAGACAGCACTTAACAACAACACAATAACGCTTCTCCCCTGCCTGGAGTTTACCAGTAGCTGTGGCACTGACTACAACTTCCAGGATCCTATGTGCCTGAGTAAAACAGCTCCACACGGTTTTCAGTGCTGATTTTTCATAAGTAGGCCAGACCATTTTTCTTATGTGCCTGTCTCTGGGTGAACTCAAACCTCCAAGCTTCCCATGAGCACCTAAGCCCATTAACAATTGTAGCATCTAGGGCCTCCCGCTTAAATCTGGGGTAGCCTTCTGACTAGCTTTGGCCAGCACAGTGTAGCAGAAGTGATGTTGAGCTCCTCAGTCCAAGCAGCCCAGTGGCTTTGCCACCTCCACGCTCTCTTACACTTGTGCCATCACATGAGCAGCTCGGTGGATGGCTGGGTGGCCAGACACGTGAAAGAGTCTCCCAGCCAGCAACAGTGAGTCCAGTGGAGATCAGCTGGAGTTGGGTCAGGTAAGCAGACTCATCCCATTAACCCATGGGCTTGTAAACAATAGTCAGTGGTTGCTGTTTTAAGCCAAGCCACTGAGTTAGAGGGAGAGGTATTTATAATGCAATAATAGATAACTCGCACATCAAACATACTGATATCAAGAACACACATTTCTTCACGGACCAATGCAAGAAACCTTCCAGATTCCCTATGGTCCTCAGCTCCAACAAGAACCAGCCAGGTGAGTATTAACAACTGGATTCTGTTCTCCACTCTGTCTGGGTGTGCAAGTGTTCGGACCCTTGACTGCCTCATATACAACACCTAGGAAAGGACTGGATTAAATGCCTTCCCTCCTCTTGGTTCCAGATATTGGGCATCTATCATTTTCTGGTTTATCATGTACCTAAGAGAGCCTAAAACAATCTCAGTGCTACAGGATCTGCCCAGCTAACACTTTCTCATTTGGTACAAATGGTTAACGTGCTCGGCTGCTAACAAAAACATTAGAGGTTTAAGTTGACCCAGAGGAGCCTCGAAAGATAGGCCAAATGATCTACTTCTGAAAAATCGGTCACTGAAAACACCGTGCTGCACATACAGCTCAACTCTGACATGCATGGGGTTGTCTTGAGTCCGAGTCTGTTTGGTAAAAACTGGAACTGGTTTCTGATTCAGAGAATGGCTGGTAGGCCCAACCAGGGCAACTCAGTGGTAAAAACGTAACAGACGCTTGAGTTAGTTTTTAGCGTTTACCAAAATCATACCTCCCAGGCGCAAACTCATCCATTAGAGAACCCAACCGCCCCCAGTGCACTGCGACTGGGCCATTAGTGTGAGCATGGGGGGACGTCCTCACCAGACCCATCCGGAGTGCTCAGGACAAAGGAAGGCAGCATCTTGACTGTGGCCTTCTCATTCGTCGCCTTCTTCAGCCCAAACTCCATCTCGGCCCGCATCCGCTTCTTCACCTCCATCAGCGTCTCCTTGGTGAGGCGGAAGTGAGCCAAGGTCTCATCGATCTGTCGGTGCTGCTCCGCCAGGCGGTAAGCCACTGCGGTCACCATAGCGGCTCCCTTGCCACTGCCGCTCTCTGACAGCAGAAAGCGCACATCAGAGTCAGGCACCAAGCGCCTCAGAGTCTTGTGGAAACGCCGGGAATACCTGCGGGGGGAACGGACAGGCAGGTCACAAGAGTTGGACTGAGCCATCTGCCAGGAACTACACTTTAATCCCAGTTTTCACATTTACTTTTTCATTACACAAGTTATTTATATACACCGTAAAAAAAGTTAGTAAATGCAGGACTAGGAAATGGGAAATTATCCACAGTCACCATTATTACGTGAGTGTGTCAAATACAGAAATGCAAGGACTGTCTTCCACAAGTGAGAGGCCTGCCACGTGCAAGTCAGGTGACCTTGAGCTTGCTCCTCAACCTTGGAGTGAATGGAGATGACAGTGTCTGGCTGAGAGTGATGAGGTGGGAACTAAACGAGTTAATTATGACTCTTAGATTAGTAACTAGAGGGCCCCATAAATAATTGCTTTGGTTTTTTATATTGACTTGGGCTTATCCACCCTCCCCCAAGAGTCTGGGTATTTCTTAGTGGACTTTCTGACAGAACTTAGTGTAACACAGAATATGTCCTCAAAGGTTGTGGGGGTGTGCCCTAAGTACAGAAGGCCACCTGTCAAAAAACAGGGAAATGATCTGCGGTGCACACCACAGACTGGGAGGAAGAATAACTTCTATTCTCTTTGTAATGTTTTGAACTATCTGATGTCTCCATATTAAATATACTACTTCTGAAATAAGAACTTACTCAAAGTTATCATTGTTTTTAAAAAAATGTGATGTTGCAAATCTCTGGGCTATCTTGCCCAAAATCTACAGAATGCTTAACAACTTGATTTGTTTTTGGCTCTCTGATGTGAAACACCAACAAGTTGTCCATTTATTTAAAAAAAGTAATGGCGAAGGCTCTGGGGGATACTCATGAGAAATTTCAAATACAAGAAGGTGGGCACGACACCCTTGACTTAAACTAAAAAGAAGATGAAGGTCACTGATGATTGGTGAACAAGCAAGGAAATTTAAGATCCTGACATATTCCAGCCAGCACTTGTGGCAGATCCAAAAGTCTTTCAGAAGACCTCTGAGATGAGGAGAGAGCAGTGAAGAGCAGAGGCCCTCACAGAATCAGCTGAGGGCCAGATGCTTCCCAAGTGGGTAACACACATTTCTTCATTCAGAATGACAGCAAAGGAACGACTGGAACTGGTGTGAGAATGACCAGAGCTCCCCTCTGAGGCTAGCTGGCTGCATCTTACTGGTTATCTGGCTCAAATGCCATCTGCTCTTTCTGCCCAGTACTACATATGAACGACATATGAGTCTGTCTGCCAAAAATGCTGAGTGCAAAAGTCTGGTCTCTGGAGAAGGTCTTTAGGCCCAGATGGGTACCGAGTGCCAATTATAGCAAAGGGCAGACTCACTGTGGGTGCGTCTTGTAAAGAGACCCGTCGACACCAACCGTGGTCCGCAGCCTGGGAGTGTTCTTGTTATCACGAAGGCGGGTCAAGATGGCGCTCAGCGTGGCAGCCACCAGGTTGGCTGAGCGGAATGAGACAATGGTGCACACGTGCTGGACTGAGATGCAGTCATCATCAGATGGCTCCACACCCAGACGGGTCAGGATTTCTTTGGCATTGTGGAGGCCTTCCTTATTCCTGTGAGATTAGAGGTCAGTACTACATAGGAACTGCATCACTGAGGTTCAAAGGTGAGGGGGACCAAGACAGTCAAACAGAAGAGTGTGAGTAGGTTCCTTTGTATAAGAAATGCCAAGCATAGGGTTCTAACATGTCAGGTGCATGGAGCATTGTTCTAAGCCACACAGCTTCTGAGAGACTTGGAAAACCAGTTGGCTCCACTCTATGGCTCAGTGCCCAGGAGGCTCAAGGGAATCTCTCACTCTTAGAATCTGTGAGGTACTTAAATTTTCTACATGTAGGTTTGAATTTTTGGTGTGGTACTGTAGGATCAGCACTAGACTGCAAACCACAAGGTTGGCTTTTCAAACCCACCTGCTGCTCCTTGGAAACCCTATACAGGGTCACTATGAATAAGAACTGACTCAATGGCACTTAACAAAAAAACAAAAACAGGTTTTATGTATCATCTGTTAGATTCATTCATTCTGAGGTACTTCATAATTCTGTTTCTATTATAAATGATGCCTTTAAAAATATACATATATATACACACAACCGACTGCCAACGAGTCAATGCTGACTCATAGAGACCCTCTATAGGGTTTCCGAGGCTGTGTTTACAGGAGCAGAAGGCCTCATCTTTCTCCCAAGGAGTGACTGAGGGTTTGAACCACCGACCTTGTGGTTAGCAGTTCAAGTCTTATCTTATAGCCCCACCAGGGCTCCTGGTATATACTACACACAAGAAGGCTTCAAAAAGTTCATGGAGAAACAGAATTAAAAGATAATGGGATTTTTCCATGAACTTTTTGCATGTACACACATACACACACAAATACAACACATTTTTATGTACCTTAGATGTTAGATATTACCAGTCGGGGAAATTGAGTAAGGAATATAGGGAATTCTTTGAACCGTAGTCACAGCTTTTCTGTTACTCAGTAACTGTTCTGGGAAGCGCCGTGGCTCCATACAATAAGCACAGGACTGCGAACCACAAAGGTGGTGGTTTGAGCCCACCAGCCATTCCATGGCAGAAAGATGAGGCTTTCTACTCCCATGAAGATTTACAGCCTCAAAAACCCTAAGCCAGGTCGCTATGAGTCGGAACCAACTCCACGGCACTAGCCACAACAACGTAACTGTTCTAAAATAAAACCTTTATTTAATAAAAAATCTCACATTGTAATTAGCACCTATATGAAGAAAAACAACTGACTTTTGTATCTTAAGGCTAGACATCTTGCAGTCCTCTGTTCCTTCTATCTACTTGTCTGTGGTTTCTTGGGGGTGTTGTGTAAAAATCACTATCCCCTGAAAAAATGACAATTCTGTTTCCTCTTTTTAAATGTTTTATGCCTTCACAGCACTTAACAACAACATGCCTTTAATATCTTTTTTATTCTTAATAATTGTTAAGACTTCTAGTGCCATGCCGAACTGCTGTCATTGTTAAGTGTTAACTCAGAGCGACCCTGTATAGCGTTTCCAAGGAGTCACTGGTGAGTTGAAACTGCCTTCAGCACCACACCAGGAGCCCATGGGAACTAGCTATATCATCTTGGTCCTGATTTAAAGAGAATGATTCAAAAATCTGCCCTTGTAGGATTATGTGTTGTAAGTTTTGGGGTTTTTTTTTTTTTGAGATCGCCTTTATTACAATATACATACACACTCTTGGGAGTCCTGCTGTGCACTATAGGATTAGCACTGGACTGTTAACCATAAGGGTCAACAGTTCCAACCCACCATCTGCTCCTCAGAAACCCTATAGAGTGGCTGTAAGTTGGAACTGATTCTTCAGGGGCCAGTCCACTGAACCAGTACTCATGAGGTAATTACTAGGGATCTACTGTATTGATCAAGGAGCTCTGGTAATGTAGTAGATTACGAGCTGAGCTGATGATAGCCAAAAGGTCAGCAGTTTAAATCTACCAGCCATTCCACGGGAAAAAGATGAGGCTTTCTACTCCCGTAAAGATTTACAGCCTTAGAAACCCTATATAGAGTCGCTATGAGTCAGAACCGACTCCTCGGCACATCACCACCACCACCACTATATTGATCTTAGCCCCCATAACCACCCCAGAAAGCCCCAAGTAGGGAGTGGTACCTACTTTTCAATGGCTGACACATCACTGGTGTTGAACTTCCCTTTGGTAAGCAGTTCTGGGGTGATCCGCCCTTCAAATAAGAGGCCCTCCTTGGCCATCTTAACCAGGATCAGTCGAACTAGCTCCCCCATGTACATGCCACTGACCATCTTCTCGAACCTGCAGGGACAAGCACACCAGGCATTTGTCAGGTTCTCCCTAGTCCCCGGGACCAGGAGCATGGCAGAGTCACAGGGGGGACAGTGTCACGAGAAGACCAGACCAGGAATGTGTGGCTGCCCCACAGGGGCACAGAGGGGCCGGTGCCTGTTCCAGGTAGGGTAGATAATCCAGACAGCACACCAGAGCCTTGGAGGGCAGAAGCAGGCAGGGAAGGCTGTGAGGTGAGGGCAACTGGAGATCTAGACGGAGAAAGTCCCCAGAGAGAAATAAGCAGAATATGAATACGATCATCGCTGACAGTTAAACAGAACTCGGCGCTGTATTTTTTACGGGCTTTCGGACCCATCAGCCATCAGAGAGGTCCCAACCCCTTGGGAGGGACAATAATGCTGTACACACTGCCATTTCCCAGCTCTGAAAAGACAGTGTCTTCCCCCTGTGGGGCCACAATTAGGCATTCGCTGGGTCATTTCCCTGGCAATGAATTTTTTCTCCAATCAAAAGGGTTAAGAATTTGCTTTGGGGAACCCAGTCTTCCCCTAATTTGTTGTTGTTGTTGAGTGCCATCGAGTCGATTCCGATCCATAGCGACCCTGTACAGGGTTTCCAAGGAGCAGCTGGTGAGTTTGAACCGCTGACCTTGTGTTCAAATGGCTTTGCAGTCTGGCGCATTAACCCACAGCGCCACAACAGAACTCCTAATTACTTCTCCCTAAATCCCAACGGTGGGCTCTGAGTAGCTTAAGCCAATCTACTCATCCACTGCTCTGGCCAAATTGTGCTTCTTGCATCCCTGGTAAGGTGTGTGATGTGAGGAGGTAGGCTCTGTGGCTAAAGCAGTCATTCTGAGGCCTGACCACATCGGGAAGGCTCGGCTGAGGGCCAGCAAGGTATGGTACTGGAAGCCATGCCTCTAGCAGATTCTGGCCCCAATGAGCCCAGGGCTGGGCACATCAGAGAGGCAGGTCCCCTCTGTGTGAGCCTAGCTGGAACACCCAGAACTGTTCCAGTCAGAGTCTGCCCCAGAGCCAAGGATGCTGCTGGGACCCGAGCACCCCGCCCGCCCATCAACAGGGGCACAGAGAGACTTCTGGCCTCATTAAAAACACAGTTCTCATTGTTCCCACTCCCAACAGGACCAGGCAGGTCCACCTGGGCCAGACTTGCCAAGATTCCTAGCAGGAGAGCATCTTCGGAGGCTGAGCAGCCCTGCCACCACCCCAGCACCTGTAGGGACGGGCTCTGAGCAAGCCACAGTGAAGCCAGACCGCTCGACCCAGCTCTCCCACCTACTGCACTCTTCACCTTTCTGCGCCCTGGGCTTGTCTGCTTAATGTGGACCATGATATGGTCTATTTATAGGAAATAGAGTCCTGGTGTGGTACTGTAAAATAAGCACTGGACTGCTAACCCCAAGGCCAGTGATTCAAACCCACCAACCATTCCTCAGAAAACCTATACAAGGTTCTCTATGGGTTGGAATAAGCTAGACAGCACTTAACACAACAACAATACGGAAGAGATGTTTTCAAATAGGTAAAGTGCTATGTTCTTGTCAATGTTGTTAAGTGCTGTCGAGTTGGTTCCGACTCATAGAGAACCTGCATAGGATTTCCGAGGTGCATCTGGTAGCTTTGAACCACTGATTATGCAGTTCAAAACATCCTTGCAGTCCAGTGCTTATCCTACAGTGCTATACCAGGACTCCAAAGCGCTATAGGGTCTGGCTAACAATAAGTAGTTACAGCCCTTCCTATATGCCGACATCTCTCCAAGTTTTTCACACGCATGAACTTATTTTATCCTCATTACACCCTATCATTATCCCCATTTCACAGATGAGGAATCTGAGACACAGGGAGGTGTTGAGCCTCCCTGCCAGCTGGTAGGTGAGACTACAGGGCCTGGGAAGTAGGCTGTAAAGAGAGAGTGGGGCATCATATTCAGAGAGAGAGCAATGAGCAAAGACTTGTACATCACTGAGTAGTTCCCTTGGCAGTCAGGGCCTGTTCTGACCAGCAGCCCAAGGGGAAAAAACCAAGGGAGAGGCCTGCGGCCAAGCAACCAGGGATGGAAGAGAGCGTCTAAGGAGGCAGCCAAGCAGCAATAAGAGAAAACGTTTGGTACTGGCTTGGACACATAGGCAGTTACTCCATCACCATTCAGACCAAAGAATGCTCCTAAACTACAGTGTTGGCTATTGTGCTCACAGCTGTTGGTGTCCTGTGAGTGGGGTCTCCTTGTATCTAGAAGGGTGTGCTAAAATAAATAAGAAATTACAGAGCAATGAGACTCAAGCTTCCAGACACAAACACAGAAAACAGAAGAGCAAGATGCACAAGAAGAAAGGCTACCCAAAATGGGGTGCCTATAAAGACAAGAAGTGACTGGCTTACAAGCTTTCAAGAGGGAGCCTAGTTTCAGATGGGGTGGGGGAAGATAGAATAACCACTGAAGGATTTCCAATCCATTGGGACCAGGCTGGCGAAAGGAAATGGGGATAAGACTCTTGTGGTACAATAGTGAATAACTGCCATCAGGTCTGTGAGGCTAGGAAATATAGAGGTAGATGTCTTTTAACAAAAAAAGGGGAGTGATTGATTTTGCAGCCCAGGAGCGGAGGTCCCTGGGACCTTCAACTGAGAAGAACGGAGAGCAACACCTTACCCAGAGAGGCAGTGACACCAGGGATGGAGACAGAGAAGATGACGTGGATAGATGGAGCGGCTGGGATCACTGGACTCAGGGTGGGTAAAGGGCTATGTGCTGGCGGCCAGGGGTGGGGGGAGTGGGCCTGTGGTGCACCCTTTGGGGTTATATGATGATGCATGGAGATGACTGTAATCATTGAAATCAAACGAAATATAATAGGATGAGTTTAAAGCTGATGTTCTCCCATGTAAACCTCACAATAAAAACTTAAAAAAAGAAAATATATAATCAGAAAATAAATGGGCAAAATAAATTAATGGGGCCCTGATGGCTTACCCTACACTGCCACAGCAGGACTAGTAAAAAGGCCTGCCTTGAGCTCTGTGCTCGTCTAAGAACTACCTTAATGGGATCAAAAGGACAACAGTAACTGAAAGATGAGATTGGAACCGGAGGGAACGTTGATGCAACTTGGGGGTTTGTCATCTCCTTGAATTTTTCTTTTTTTACTTTACACTTTGATGTTGTTGAGACTTGTTCCCACTGGAATTGTTCTTAACAAAACCTGGCCTGTGGTGATCAGTAAGCAGGGCAAGGTACTGGAGAAAACCGGCTTCCCCTGCTATCCTTCCATCTTACACCCACCTGCTGGTGTCTTATTTGAAACCCTCAGGAATAGGCAGACTAGAGGATTGCAGCAGAGACCTAATGTGACGCACGTGCACACGTTCAATACATTACAGAATACTCCCGGGGTACCCAAGGTAGCACTTCAAGCAGGCACATTAATAGTTCTGAAGCACAACTTCTCCACCACCCATCTGCCAGTTTGTCATACTGTCCCAGCTGTGCCCCAATATTTCAAATAACCAGCAGGGCCCCCCAAGGTTTCAGCAGAGCTACCAGTGTAAAACAGACCGAGAAAAAAGGTCTGGAAGTCCCTTTTTGAAACTTAACCAATGATAACCCTATGGGTCACAGCAGAAAACTGTGACCTTGAACACATCATCAGGAGAGACCAAATGTTAGCAGGTGGTCTTGTGTTCAGGGAAGTCTTCAATGAGTTGGTCGACACAGTGACCACAGGAATGGACTTGAGCAGGCCAATGTTCATGGAGATAAGGTGGGGTCAGGCAGTGTCTCATCCATGTACGTGGGGGCAGAGCCAACTCAATGGTAACTAACAACAACAACAACAATAACAACAGTGTAACATAAACTAAGCTCATGTAAGTCAGGGTCAAGTTTTATCACCTAAGGATTAGGAAAAGCGAAAAAGAAAAGAGTTACCTTTCAGAGGTCTAGAACTGTGGCTAAGGGATTGTGTGTCGCCTGGTACCCAGACTCAGGCTGCAAGGAACATGTTAACTGTGGGTCTAAGAATTTGGGATTTCTCTCACTGAGTAACCTAATCTATTCACCACCACCTCTGGTTGTGAGACCAGGGCTAGCCATTTACGTTACTCTATTAATTCAGGTAGAAAGCTCCATCTTCCAGCCTCGAAGACTGAGATGGCTAAATGGGTTTCAGAAAGACTACTTAACTCCTGTCTGTTTTTTGTGGCATAAGCATACTGGCTGTTGGGCTAGCAGGGTTAGCGAACATAAAAAGATGAAATACTGAGGAGGGGAGAAAAGGGACATTTTCATACAGTGCAATGAAGGAATGCTACATTTTGGAAAAAGAGCAAAAATTGTTTGCACAACTTAAAGAATGTAATCAATGTCACTGAGGCACACAAGTAGAAGCTGATGACTTTTTTGTGTGTTCAAGGGTGTTATTTCAAAGTCAGCCTCTCTGTAGACCAATAGCAGCCAACTCTTAAGGTAAAACAGCTGGAAGGCTAGGGACTGGAAACACAGAGAAACGTGAAAATTGAGTATGCACTTCAGAATGTTAAGTGGCACAGTGAAGCAATGTCCACTATTACAGACAGCTTTATATTCTCCAAAAAGATATTTTAGCATCCTAATCCCAGAGAGTCCTGGTGTGGTACTGTGGGCTAATGCATTGGATTGCAAAGTTGGTTTGAACTACAAGGTCATGGTTCACGCTTACCAGCTGCTCCTCGGAAACCCTATACAGGGTCACTATGGATCGGAACTGACTCTATGGCACTTAACATCGGAGTCCCAGTGTGGTGCTGTGGGTTAATGCGCTGGACTGCAAAGTCAGTTTGAACCGCAAGGTCATTGGTTCCAGCTCACTAGCCGCTCCTTGGAAACTTTATATATACAAGGTTCCTATGAGTCAGAACTGACTCAATGGCACTTGACAACAACAATCCCAGATAAGCACTGGACTGTGAACCACAAGGTCAGCAGTTGGAGCCCACTGGCCACTCTATGGGTGAATGATGAGGCTTTCTGCTCCTGCTAAGATTTACAAGCCTTGGAAACCCGACTTGAACCACAAAGTCATGCTTCAAACTCACCAGCTGCTCCTTGGAAACCCTATACAGGGTCATTATGAATCAGAAGTGACTCAAAGGCACTTCACAACAACAATCCCCATTGCCTATGAATATAGTTGTTTAGAAGCAGGGTCTGTGAAGATGCTATCAGTTAACTGGAGTGTCTGATAATGTGTTGGACTGCAAGGTCAGTCTGAAACACAAAGTCGGTGGTTCAAGCTCCTCAGCCACTCCTCAGAAAGCCTATACAGGGTTGCTATGAGTCATAACCAACTCCACAGCACTTAACAACACCACCAATCCAATCTGAGTGGTGCCTTTACAGAGGAGAAGATACACAGAGAGGAAGGACATATGAAGATGGAGGTGGAGAATGGAGTGATATGTATACAAGCAAGGAACTCCAAAATCACCAAAATTACCAGTAGCTACGAGGGAGGCAAGGATTGTCTCCTCAGAGCCCTCGAAAGAAATTAACCTTGTAAACACCTTAAGTTCATACTCCTAAACTCCAGAAAAATTAATGTCTTTGATTTTCATCAGTAAGTGCCTTGAAGCCCCTCTTCACTTTCAGCAAGCAAGGTTGTATAATCTGCATACAGATTGCTAGTGAGTCTTCCTCCAAAGCTGATGGCTCATCCTTCTTCATTTAACCCAGCTCCTAGGACTATTGGCTCAGCATACAGACTGAATGAGTGTGGCAAAAGGATATAAGCCAGGTGTACACCTTTCCTCATTTTAAACTAAGAAGTATCCCCTTGTTCTGTTCTAAGGACTCTTATTCTATGCAATGTTATCCACACAGTTGAGTGCCTCTGTTTAGTTAATGAAACACAGTTAAACGTCTTTCTGGTATTTCTGCTTTCAGACAAGATTCGCTGGCCCAGGATCGGGCAGTGTTTCGTTGTGCTGCGCATAAGGTAGCTATGAGTCGGTACCGACTCGATGGCACCTAACAACAACAAGAAGCCCGAATAATATCATTTTACCAAGCAAGCTGTCTGAGCAGTCTGATGTTCTCCATCATCTCTGACTCATCTGCCTATACTTGACAGGGAAGCTTCACTACACTCCAGTCTCCCCAAGACCTGCTCCTTGACGCATAATTTCTGCACTCCACTGCACCACACATATTTGCCTGAGTGACTTACCTCCTATCTAGACAGGGGAGGCTTGGAAGAGAAGGCACGTAGTGCAGAGCTCAGCACATATAAGTGGTCAGAAATCTGTGCTGAATGAATGGACACTCTCCTTGTTCAATGGACGTCCCATAATACCATGCAGCCTCCTCCCTGACAAGCATCATTCAAGGTGACAGTATTTAAAAACAGTTTTAAACCTTAACTAATGTGCTTTTACTTTTCTCAGCGTTTTACAAGGATGGGGTCCCAGTTTAGACAAAAAGGACATCTTTTAGGAAGTGTTCTTCAAGCTGTAGATTCCATAACTGTGCAGTCATCCCAATAAGGAGACACAGATAAAGCACACTTGGCAGGCTTTTCTTTTGGGCCTCACTAGAATGCTGAGTGGTGCAAGCATTTGAGTGGTTGACCAGTAATCAAAGGATGGGAGTTCAAACTCATCCAAAGGCACCTCAAAAGAAAGGCCTCGTAAGTCTGCTTATGAAAAGTCTCAGCCTTGAAAATCCGATCGAGCATTTGTACTCAGCACACATGGCATCACCAGGAGTCGAACTTAAGTGGTTCAGTAACAACTGGTTGGGGTGGCTGGATGGCACAAGCAGTTAAGCGCTCGACTACCAGCAAAGAGTTGGTGGTTCAAACCCACCCACAGGTGCCTAGGAAGAAATACAGCCTTGACTACCACCCTCTGAAGCAGGTCTACTCTGCACACAAGGCGCACCACGTGTTGAATCAACTCAGCAGCAACTAACAACATCACACTGGTTTGAGAGCCCCTTCATTTCCCAAATCTTCGCCTTCAGTGTCCCCTACATGATCTACATGGCTGGAAGGCCAGGGTCAGACACTCACAGCTGCTTTCCAGGGTTGAGGGAGCCCCGGTCTATCTCTCGGTCAAACTCGGTCCGGATGTCTTCTAGAGACCCGTCATCCCCAAAGGCCCCCCACTCCGTGTTGATGCACATCCTGCCCTCGTCGCCTTCCACCAGGTCGATGTACCTCAGTTCCTCCATGTAGCAGGCGTTGGTGCCAGTGCCTAAGAGAGACAAGATCAGAAGTTATAACCACACAGAGCTGACAGAGGAGGCAGCCCCTTCTGAACATGTCTGCTGAGCGAGGGGTGAGCACAGGAGACATTACCAATGATCAAGCCAACTTCACATTGCTGGTCATCATAGCCGCAGGTCATCATGGTCCCCACCGTGTCATTCACCACGGCCACAATGTTGGCGTCGTAGTCCTGGGGACAGATAAACAGGGTGTCACCAACTTCTCACACCTGGGAGAGGACCAGTCATTTGTGCTCTCACGAACCTCTCATTTGTGGTGCTGGCTTCATGAATACGGGTGCTCGATTAATCAGATTAAGGCGCGGTAACTAAAATCACGAAACCTCAGTTATCTGGCACAGTTCCCTCAATTACCTGGCTTAAAATTCTTTTCAGAGTGGATTTTATGCATGGAGCCACATTGCTCTGTAAATCACCTCGGTCCCTGTGCCAACTTAGGACGTCAGCTCTTCTGCCACTGGATCCAGAGCAGGTGCACCACCTGACAGCCCACATTCCACTGAGGAAAGGAGGTGGCTACATACCTGAAGCAATGGTTCCATTGGGCAGCTGCCTTTAGATGGCAGTTCTGAGAGCTCTGTGTGGAGTCACCCCTGTCCTTCTGGACTGTGGACCCTTCCCCACTCACTTGTCCAGTTCGTCAAGGTTACAGCACTCTCCAACCACAGACCCCTGTCCTACCACTCCCGGGAAAGTGCCTCAGTCTGTTTAAGAGCACAGCCCTCTCCCCACACCTCTGCATGACACAGGCAAAAATCCCAGAGAGAAATTACCCCACGCTTTTTGATGGCTTTGTTAAGCAGCTTCACCACGTCTGCTCCCTCGACTCCACTCGCTTTGAATCTCTTTGTCCAGGTGATGAGGACGGCCTGCAAAGGAGAGCAGAGATGCTGGAGAAGCCTGGGGAGTCTCTAGAAGCCCCAGCCCTCCCTGTAGAGGCTGCTGAAAGGCAGTGAAAAACGGCCCAGAGACACCAAGTGGCTTGTCCAAGATCACTATGGGTAACAGAGTTGGATTCCATCCCATGGCCATCCCATCGACCAGATGCGTATCATTGGGAACTCTCAAGGACTGAAAACCAGTCTATAAAAGCTGGCTCACACTAGAAAAAAAGCAAGTGTCAGTCAGTAGAGCCATGTCACTCAGGATCTAGATATCAAATGCACAGCTAGCTAAGAGGGCAGGAGAAATCTTATTCTTAGCGACTCACCCTTCCTCATAGCTCTTGCAACTCTCACAGACCAAACAGAGATAGCCAGAGCCAAACTGACAAGAGAGAAAATGCTAGGAGTCTTCACGGCTGTTGAGCCTTTAAGAGTCAGGTCCTGGAAGTTTAACATTGCCTATATGTGATTTATGCCTCATTCACCAACTTTGGAACTTAACCCCCATTTGTGACTCCACTCTTTGTACAACAGGCTCCATTTTTATTTGTATATTAATGGAGAAACACCAGAGGACAGACATGCAATAGTTATTTCCTTAGGAATGGAGAGGTACAAATTTTACTTTCTGCTTTTTAAAGTTTGAATATAGTCATCCTGGAATGTTAGTCTCTGAAGGGCACAGTAGCTCTGCTGTAGCAGGGGGGATTCTCTGCTTGGGATGGGGCTCTTGCTCAGCAGCATGCATTGTTCTTGTTGACATGAAAACTGTGGCAACTGGAAGGGCAAGTCTTGATGAGGAGCGGTGGGTTTTCTCCAAGCAGCAGCTAAAGCCCCTAGACACACTACCCCCTCCCACACACTCTCCCTACTCTACGAAACAGACTCTCAGAGAACTTGTGGGATTCGAAATCAGGGGACCTGGTCCCAGTTCCTCATCTGTCCATTTCCTGAGGGCAGATCACTTAACTCCTCTGAGGTTCACTTGTCCCTCTGTAGAAAAAGCAGCTGTCTAGATCTGGGCAGGCTTGAAGGTCACAGCCAGCTGTGAGGAGTGGGCCCAGGTCCCCTGAATGGGTAAACCAAGGGCTTCCTGCAGGTAGCACGTCCAGCCCAGAAAGCCTCCCAGATGTGCTCAGGGCCCCAGGTGTCCTTCTCAGCCCACAATGATCTTCTCCTAAACACAGTGTTCTGCCCTGTGGGGCTTTCACAAGACTACATCTCCTGGGAGGACAGTCACATCTGCACACCGCTGCCTCCCAGGGGCACTCAGGAAATAGATACTGATAAATGACACTTGGCAGTGACACAGACTGCCCCGCCAGCCCCACAAGGACTCTTTATCCCAGGCCATCTCCACCTCTCTGTCCAAGGAGCATGAATATCATGTCCTACTTCTCCAAAGCTAAGGGAGTTTGTGAGAGGGTTTAAGAAAGACATCCTGGTGGTCCAGGTGATAAGAACTGGATCTGAACACTCTTGGGGGTGCAGCAACCCTCAGAGCACAGAGAAAGAGGTTCCATGAGTCCACAGCAACTCCTTGAACAGATAAAACAGCACAGAGTCCCATCTCACTGTCTCTTCCTCCATTCTTCTCACTGAACTCATTCCTAGTGGTCTGCTGGGAGGCTTCCTGCAAACTGGGAACTTGTGCTAAATGGACAAGTGTGTTCTTTCCCCCCTGGGTGATAGCCTGCCTACCAGCACAGTGACAATGCTCAACAGCAGACACTGTAAATATGCCTTCCCCTGGCAAGGGCCCAGACCACTACCACCACCCAAACATTCCTAAGACATGTCGGGCTCCAGCCAGTGGCTAGGTGTGTGGAGTGAGAGTCCCTGTCCTTCTAGTGGGACCTTGGGGGATCACAGACTTGAACAGAGAGCGGAAGCTCACTGCATCCTTTCAGAGCCTTGCTCCTTTCTCTCCTTCCCAGAGCCTCGTGGGAAATACTCTGTCCCCAAGTAGCTTCAGCAGTGGGGCTCCGGGATGAGACAGCAACACCTCGGGGACTTTAGACAAGTTGGGAGGTGGAAGACTACTGACTGGGATTCTGGTACTAGATCTCCCTTTAACAAGTCATGCGGCCTTGGAGGGATTCTCAGGCCCCTCTTTGCTCTGACTCTGTGTGGTTGCACAAATACATGGATGAAAGCAGTCAACAGCTAAAGGGCTCTTGCCCTACTGACAAAGGGGCGCAGGAGTGCTTCAGAAGACCTGGAGGGTACCGTGCACCCAAATGTTACTTTCCTGCAGCCAAGCAGAGGCCAGACTGCCCTGAGCAAATCCAGGAACAGTATTTCCTAGCTGTGTGACCTGAGAGGCAAGGTTCTTAACCCCTCTCAGCCTCCATTTCCTGTATCTAGAGTGAGGGAGCTTGCAGATCACGTGCATTAATTATATTGTGAAGTACATATTAGAATAATGCCCAGCACATAGTAGGCACTCAATAATGCCAACTATCGTTTTCCTGTTATCAGGAGTTTACTCAGAAGTTGTTCTGGTGTGTGTGCGTGTGCACTACTTTTTCTTCCCTCTCACCATAGAACAAGTACAAGGTTGCACCAACTTGTGTGGTATTCCTGGGGTACAATGCTATACTCAATAGGCCTCAGTCTATCCTTGTTGATCAGAAAAATAAAGGAACAAGTGACAAACTGGGTCTCTCTGAGGCTGGGGTTACTGGCCAGTGGGGGTTGGCACTGAGGGGCTGGGGCCCTGACCAGAGTTCCTATAACTAGGATGGTATCCAGGGAAACCCCACACAGTGCAGCGCCAACAAACAGCTTTCCAACCTCTCTCTGCCACATCATCACCCCTAGTTTACTCTCCCTCACCGACTTGATTTAAAGCCACAAATACCATGGGTTACCTCCAAAATTGCATGTATACACACACAGAGTGGACAGAGAAGGGCAGCTTGGAAACTGGATACTCAAATTGAGAGGGGGGACTACAAAGACAAGAAGTGACTGGCTTACAAGCTTTCAAGAGGGAACCGGGTATAGGGAGCATGGCGGAAGGCAGAATCTCTAGTAGGTACTATTCAATCTGTCTAGGCGGAGCTGATGAAAGGAGATACAGATGGGTAACTCGTGATACTGTAGTGAATAATGCTTATCAGGATGGACTATGAGGGTCAGAAATGCAAAGGTAGAAGTTTTGTAACAAGGAAGGGAGTGATTAAATTTCTAGGATAGGAGCGGAGACCTCTGGGACCATCAACGGAGAAGATCTGAGAGCGGGACCCTACCCAGAGAAACAGAGATGCCTGAAATGGAGGCAGAGATGATGATGCAGAGTGCTGAAGCCACTGGGGACTTTGGACTCAGAGAGGGAAAGGAACTGTGGGCCGAAAACTGGGGGGAGGAGGGGGAAGTGTAGGGGGCGGGTTTCTGGGATATACCCTTTGGGTGGTTGATGATGCATGGAGGGGACTGGAACCATGGCAATGAGATGATATACGATGGAATGAATGTAAAACTAAAGTTCCCCCATGTAAACTATCATGTAATTCACAATAAAACATTAAAAAAAAAAATGCATGTATAACTAAACTGATAAAACAAAAGCAACCTCTCACATCCATTTCTGCAAATGCTTCTCAAAATATCTAAGACGCGAGGCCCTGCATGTGAGAAAGACAGTTCATTGAGTAAAAGGTCCTTATTTTCCCACTATGGGGACTTCAGTGGGGCCTGGCAGTCCCGGGAGATTCTTACCTCGTCAATTTTAGATTGTCGGCAGGGGAAAGAAAAGGTGAATCCTACAGGTAGTTTCTTGTCCTTGATTTTCTTTTTCTCCATGAAGTCTCCCAAGCACTCGGCGACATGATCAAAAAGCTGCAGGAAGCAGAAAGGAGAATCACACAGAAAGATGAGTACTAACACTACAGGAAAAAAAGCCACGAATTCCCTCCACACATGCAGCAGAGAGCATGTCTCCACAAGCTAAGGAGTCCCTGTGTGGGGCAAATGGTCAACAAGTCCACCCAGAGGTGTCCAGGAAAGGCCTAGACAGTTACTTTAGAAAAGTCAGCCACTGAAAACTCTACAGAGCACAGTTCCACTTTGACACACACAAACACACCAGGAATTGTGACTTATCCAAGGACGACTGGAACTCGGCCCATGTGAAAAGTCACCATTTTTCTAGAATGGTCAAGAAGAGTCAAAAAGAGGCTGCCTTGAGACCACCACAGCTCTTGGAAGGTACTTCAAATACTTAAAATAGAACTGGTGGTCTCTAGGGCTTATTATCTGGGTACTGAAAAAATTCAAAACTAAGACAGGACGAACTCCTCCCTCTGGGACAAACAGGCTTTGGTGCATATCCCACCTCCTCCCTGGCGGGGGTATTGGAGAAGGCAGGAGTGACCATCTGGCTGGCTCCTCTTCTAGCCTCTACCTCTGTCAATTCCAGAGGCTCCACAGGACAATTCCACAGTCTGCAGTCATTGAAGGGATTTCATCATCTCTTAGCACTGTAGGATCAGCACTGGGCTGCTAACCACAAGGTCAGCAGTTCAAATCCACGAGCGGTTCCTCAGAAACCCTACACAGGGTCACTATGAATCAGAACTGACTCCTGGGCACTTAACAACAAGACTACTATCACAGCCCTGGTGTGGCACTGGATAAGCACTGGATTCCTACTAACCACAAGGTCGGTGGTCCAAACCTACCAACCACTCCTTGGAAACCTTATACAGGGTCTCCATGAGTTGGAACCAACTCATTTGTAGTTGACAATAACAATACCAACAGACTACTACTTTCACCTTTGCTTTTTATTGAGTATAATTGACACAAAGTATACACATCATAAGTCGGGAGCTCACTGGACTCTCACATCTGTGTAAATGGTGCACAGGACAAGAGCCGTATCATCAGACCCAGACGCGTCCCTCCCGTCCCCTGTAGCCACTTCACCTGCCACCCACCAAGGACAACCGTGAGCTTCCCTGATGCCCAACATCCTACATTCTTTTTGCCTGTTTTCTTCTGCATATTAAAGAAAATGATATGCAGAACGTGCTCTGGGGTGCCTGCTTTCTCTTGTTCATGCGGTTGCAATTGAAGCTTCCCTCCTCCATAACATGCTACCTTTGATCTAACCCAGAACCTCAGCGTGAATACTACCAAAGGCAGGAGACTTAGCACTTCCAAGGCAACATTATTGGATCTAATACCTCTCCTCATCATGTATCCTGGACTGAAGATAACCTTCCATAAATTTCCCAACCAGAGGAGAGTTCGGGGGAATTAATAACCTCCCTTATCCTCGTGTGGTGCTGTAGGATAAGCACTGGACTGCTAATTACAAGGCTGATGTTACAATCCTGCTAGTTGCTCCTCAGACACCCAACACAGGGTCATAACCAACTCGATAGCATTTAACAAGACCAATTTATCTTTATAGCTGTAGATCTCCATGAATGCAACTGAAGGGGTTTCAAAAAGTTGGTGGGAAAATTCCACCATCTTAGAACTCCACGTTCTTCTGACCAGCATGCTCCAGTCGAGGTAATGCTGGCCTTTCTGACAATGCTGCCACAACACTGGATTTGCTGCCAATCTCCCTTAACCGGCAACACCAGCTGCTTTGTTGTTGTTGTTTTTTAAATTCAGTATGCATTATTTAATTGTGAAGAAATTTATGATAATGAAAGATGTTAATGATACTGAGTTTTCTAGTCCATCAATATGTCATATCTCCCATTTATTTAGATCTGCTTTAATTTCTCTGGGCATCATTTGAAAATTCTTAAAGTATAGGCCTTCAATATTACTAAATACATTTTTTTTTAAGGTTTTTATTGTGGATGGAGTAAAAGATTATAGAGCAGATTTATCAGTTTTACATTCAACATACCATATGCTTTGTTTCATTACAATGACTAAAATCCCCTTCATGTACCATCAGTTAACAGCTATTCACTTTAGCTTTTTTAAAACAAAACAAAACCACTTAGGCATATACAATAATTTACACCTCCAAAGGGCACATTCTGCAAGTCTGCCTCCTGGCCACTGGCTCTTAGTCCCTCTCTTCCCATGAATCTAAAGTCCTCAGCCGCTCCCTCTCTCCATGTCCACATCTCTGTCTCCATCTCTAGCATTGCTGCTTCTCTGGATAAGGTCCCACATTCTGTTTGTGCTCTTCTCCCTTGAGGGTCCTAGGGTCCTGTTTCTGGACTGCAAGATTAACCACTCCCCTGTTTTTGATACAAAATTTCTACCTTTATAATTATGACAGTCACAATTAATCAGGATAACAATTATTCATTATTGAATCATACGATCTTATCCCCATCTCTTTCACCAGACCCATCTAGACAAGATGAAAACTGTTCAGTGGGGATACTTTCATCCCTCCCACACTCTTAAGCTAAACTCCCTCTTGAAACCTTGTAAGCCAGTCACTTCATGCCTTTATTGTCCCTCATTTTAGGTAGCCAATGTCTAGGTTGCCCGTCTCTATCTACCCTGTGTACAGAGGATAGCATTGATACTTGATGTGAAGTCTCCTTCCCTCTCTGTTGGTATTTTAGAGTTACTACTTCCATGAGTATAGGTCAGGTTCATCAAATTGCAGCAATTTACCCTGTTTCCTTTATTTAAAAAAAAAATATATATATATATGAAGCTCTGGTAGCATTGTGGTTACGAATCACACTGCGAATCTCAAGGTCAGCAGTTCAAAACTACCAGCTGTTCCGCGGGAGAAAGATGAGGCTTTCTGCTCCCGTAAGGATTTAGAGCCTCGGAAACCCTGTACAGGGTCACTATGAGTCGGAACTGACTCCACGGCACATGACAACAACAACATATATATATATATATATTTGTAATCTTCCTCTAATCAAGTTCTGATTATCAAGTCATCGAGGCTAGGTCAATTGGGTACTATGTGCAAGTTTGGGTGTTCTTGTGCATCTTCCTTCACTTCATATGAGCTGGATGCTTCCCTCAAAAGAGGCCTATTTCACTGGGCAAGTTCTAGAACCCCTTTTAGGTATTCCAATAAGTTATAGGCTGAAGATGGGCTTACAAGTTTTCTGTAATCATGTTTCCCAACATTCCTTTCGAGCCCACTCAAATGTCTATTTTACAATAGTAGGCAAGGGAAACCAATATTCATAAGACAGTCAAGCATCTTAGTATTATTTCCCCTCTTCAAAGTATGCTTCAATCCCTGTAACACAGAGTCCTGTTGTTCCAAGGTTGAGCATGCATCACTATTTACCTCTGTCCCACTTAGGCCACACAAACCTGTCTCAGTGTTCCCCTATCTACCTTGTTCTTCCACCTCCTCCCCCTTCTTGTATTGCCCTCCCCTACACCCGAACTAAACTCCCAACCCCAATCCCACTATTGTGGTTACCTTATATTCCACTAATTCTTCCCACCATTTAAGACTGTCTATTTTTTCCTGTAATCTACCTAACCTTCCCACAACCTGGATCTCTGTTCCTCTGTGTTTACCTTCTTTCACATTGTAATTGTTTTGATCATAGACTGACTCTGTTCTTAAAAATTTATTCTGTTCTTGACTCTTGCATTTGTTGATTTTGAGTTCAGGGTGATGCTGCCACGTACTTCATTCTCTTGGTAGTTGTCTGTTCTTGTTGGTTCTCAGTCCACAGAACTTTCTTTAGGATGTTTTTCATAGCAGGGTTGGCTTTGGCAAAATCCCTTAGCTTCTGTTAATCCTGGAATGTTTTGATTACACCATCGTATTTGATTGACAGCTTTGCTGGGTAGAGGATTCTTGGGTGCAGTTTTGTTCTTTCAGGGTTTTATATATCTCTCCCAATTGCCTTCTTGCCTGCATGGTTTCTGCTGAGAAATAAAGAGTTTAATCTGATTTACTTGCCTTTGTATGTTACACTTCTCTTTTCCCTAGCTGCTTTCATGATTCTGTCCTTATCTTTGATTTTGGAGAGTTTGATTGTTATATATCCTGGTGATTTTCTTTTAGGGTCTATCCTTCCTAGGGTTCATTGAGCTTCTTGAATATTTATCTTCTCGCTTTTCAGGATGTTAGGGAAATTTTCTTCCAAAAGCTCTTCAACTATCTCCCTCTGTGGACTTGTGTGATTCTTCCTGTTCTGGAATGCCAATAATTCTTAAGTTTTTCCTCTTCTTGTTTTCTAACATGAATCTTGGGCCTTCTTCAGATTTTTTTATCCTTTTTTGTGTTTGCTCTTCTATCTTAGTAGTGTTGAGAGATTTATATTTTAGCTCACTAGTTCTAGCTTCTATCTTCTATTCTACTCCTTTGCTCTTTCAATGTATTGCCCATTTCTGATATTCTATTATTAATCGTTTGGACCTCTTTCTGTAGGTTTTGAATTTTTTCCAATGCTGTATCTATCTTATTTGATTGTTCCTTTAGTACTTTCCTGACTTCTTCCTTATTGTTCTCAACTCCATTGTAGAATGTTTTGATACATTTTATAATCATTTTTCTGAATTCCTTCTCAGGTATTTCCAAAGCCTGCCCATCTTCCAGTATGGATTGTAGGTCTACTTCCAGCTCATTTGCCTCAGTCACTTTATCTCGTTTCTGGACATGTGCTGATATGGTCATCTGTTTCTGTTTTGGGGGCATATTCAGGAGTTATCTGTAGCCTTAATACTTAGAGAGGTTTGTATTTTGGTATACTTTATGCTTTCTGATTGCCTCCAGGTAGATGTGATCAGGAGATGGACTTCCCTTTTTCTTCTTACTGAGAAATTTCAAGATGCCACTATTGGTCGTTGTGATATAACTCAGGATTTAATTTTCAGCCTATTTCCTTTTTAGTCCACCTGTCCCACTCCATAATCCCCATTCAGACCTTTTTCTTAGTGAGAAATCGTTCAGGGCTGGCTGTGGCTGATTTGCACTGCCATTTGGTTTTAAGTGGAAACTATCACTTTAAATTTCGAGGAAATCTGTGCACATGGGTAGTAGAACCCTCCGGGGGTGGAGGTGGGGTGTCCACTCGCTCAGGTACCCCCTCTAGTCACCAGAATGGAGGTGTACAGACAGCGAGAGACCAATGAACAGACACAAAAAAACCAGACTGTCCACACCTTGATCTCCACAGTTCTGTCAGTTGTCCGTGGCTGGTCTGATCCTTGCCCCGCTTGGTCTTGCACAAGATGGCGGCTCCAGGAGCATCTGAGTGTCTTAGAAAGCACTTGATTTCTTGCTTCTGCTACAAATTTTCCTAGCTGTAAGCCTTCCAACCTTTTAAATATTCCTTTATATGTGGTTCAGAGTTCTGGCACCATCCCCTGAGCCTGCTTGTTCTGGTATTCTGTGTTGTAGCTGACGGAGCTCCTCACTGCACCTCCACCCAATCCGCCATCTTCTTTGTTCTCCTAACACCAGCTGGTTTTGTGCAAGATCTGCACAGCAGGCACTTCTCTGAACCCCACAGGCTCAAATGAGGCAGCCCCAGCCTGTGCTTCCAGACCAGGCCATCTGTCTATTGGCCTTCCTTGCAAGGTCTCCTTGAGAGGGGCCAGGAGTCATTGTTCCCAACCCCATCTTGCCTCAGATGCTCCCAAACCTGCTCTGAAGTCTGAATTTCCTGCCAGGGGGAAGAAAATCTTGCTCAGTTTTGGTTCAGGAGCCTCTGTCCCTGAGTCATAATTATTCAGCCGGAGCTGAGGAGACACATGACCACCTTCCCTGCTGAGCTTCCTGCGACCTACATTCCAGACAGACAGAAATCCAATGCTAAGTCCATCCGCATACACCACGTCATCTGTCCTCGGCACCTCCAGCATCCCTACAGCCCTAGAAGAAGGCTGGGAAAGAAAGCTATCACAGGTAGCAGTTGGGAAATACCTGGGAGAATCTGGCTGCAGAAACAGATCCACATGAACGGGGCCTGGAACCAATTCCAGGCTCCTGACTGAATACTACTCTCCATTAAGTACTCCATTGAGAAAGAACTGTCATTTCTGTGAGAGACCCACAATCCAGAGGCTACAAACCAGGACAATAACCCTAGGCTAACCTGGACCCCTTCTCACATGTGGCCAACTTGGGAAGCACGTTATCCATCCTCACTGGACTCAAACTTTTAGCATCTAAAAAACATTCATATTTTCTTTCTTGACATGTTCATTATTAAAAAAATGTTAATCTGACCCCACTTCCACAGAATCAGTTCTTCCCGCTGAAAATGACAGTGACTAAAACAAAAACTTAAAAATTTATTATTCAATCTCCCAAAAACAATTCAGTGATATTTTAATTTTGAAATTACTGAAATTTAAAATTGTATTAAAATTTCTAGAACACCATGTTGGGGGAAAGGGGACGGCATATGTGTGTGTGTGTGTGTGTGTGTAGAAAGAGGAAAAGGTAGACAGCAAAAGGGATACAGGAAGGAAATAGTTAACCACTTGGGAATCTGGGTGAAAGGTACCCACAGAACTCTTTGCTACTGTCTCAAAATTTTTCTGTAAGTTTAACTATTTTTCAAAATAAAAGTCTAAAATGGATTAGAAATTTCCAAATATTAAAGAGGATGAGAGTCCCTGCAATCACAACCCCAAGTATTTACCACAGTTTATCATCTATGAGTCTGAGTTGTGGGTAAAGTGAGGGCCCTGGTTTACCAGACTACCTACAGGTCAACAAGAGATCTGTTCTGACCCTCTGCCTAATTCTCCTGGACTTTCTTCCCTCCCCAGAACTTTTACATTTCCTCACCATCAAAGAACAAAAATCAAAGCAATAAAGACAAAGCCCAGTCAGGAGTTCCATGTTGCCAAAACAGTAATAGCTAGAACCAGACAGACTTGATTCAAAATACCAGCTCCAACCTTATGAACTGTGTGGACAAGGGCTGGAGACTTAACATCTGAGCCTCAATTTGCTTCATCTGCAAAATGGAAATGATTATAATACTAATAGTCACCCGTGGGATTGTTGCAAAGATTGAGTTATTACAGATGGAATTCACAGAATGACTAGCATGTAACAAACACTATGCATTTACTATCATAATACTGAATTATTATCATCGCCATAATACTGAATTATTATCATCACCATCTCTTGGAATAGGCAGAGGAAGAAACAGAGACATGGAAAACAAAATGGTCCTGGGAATGAGAAAAGGGGAAGATGGGGACAGAGGTCAGGAGAGACAAGGCTAGAAGGCAACATTAAGAAGGAAGTGGTAGGGCATGCACTCAGTAAGGAGTGTGCACGTGTGTGTGTGTGTGTGCTCACGTGTAACTCCCTTAATGTTCAAATCCCACTCTTAATGTCAGGCCAAAGCACACAGGGAATGTTTGCAGCAGGAATGAGAGAGGCTCAGTGATGCAGGCAGAAGGCAGAGAAGGCTGAACCCAAGCACATGGGGAACAGAGAGTGACAAATGGAAACAGCAGAATGATAACGATCTAAGGTTGCCGGGCACCCAACAGATGGAGCGACAAGTGGCCAACTGGGCACAATTAGGAGACCCACGAGTGCAGCCTTCATACACACCTCAGATGGAATGCCCAGTGACCAAGCCCAGCAACAGGGGATGAGTGGGGGACCCACAGGCAGGGCCACCAGACGAGGGGACACAACAATGTCTATGTCTGAGTATCGAGTGGTTCATCTGTCCTGGTGACCTTTGACACTCATTGGGATATGATCTGAGGAGTTGAAGCCAAAGCATAGGGAGCAGGTTAAAGGTCAGGAAGAACCCCCTGGTCTTGCAGGCAGAGAAGAGGCTCAAGGACTTGCTCCAGGGCCCAGTCATTTTAGTTTAGGTACAAAATGGAGTTAGGAGAAGGTTCCTGGGTCTCCTCTCTGAAGAACTTAAGTCATGAAGCCTTTGGGAAATACACCCTCCCTAAAGCAAATATTTGGCAAGTTTTGAATAGGGAATCTGGGCAGTGGCCACACACAGGAGGCAAGCTACAAACCAGAGGAGCCAGAAGGTCTGCAGGAGAGGCGGGACTACAGAGCCAAGGCTGACCCAGAACCTGAGGGCGAGGGGCTGGCTCTATCTTAATCACAGTGTCCTTAGGGAGCTGGGGACCCGCCTCTCATGGTACCTAGACAGGTGGGAGCTGGGAGCCTCCTATGGACACCTGGAGGAGGTGGGCTTCAGGTACTGAGTATATGAGGAGCAGTGAATTCCCAAGCAGGTCCCTGCCTCCCATCTGTCTGTGCCAAGCATTTGTACAATGCTATTAAATCAGCTAAGAGCCTTCTGATTCACCCTGGAGTTGTAACTCTTTTCTCCTGCCAGACATTGCAACAGCCACACCCCATGAAAGCTGGGCAAGGAAGCCAGTGGCTTGGGGGAAGGGATGCTTTCACCCAGGGGTTCTGCTAATCCTCCAGGATCCTCAGGGAATGACAGCACTTAACCAACAGAGATATAGGGTCTCCCTCCTTACACCTTGGCACTGTAAAACCGCCCACTCCACCAGGTGGTGAAAGTCTCTTCTGGAACAACCACCTCTACGGAGTCGTCCTGTCCCTCTACTCAGGTGCCCCTTCTCAGCCCACAGGGGATAACAGATTTCCTTCCAGAGGCTCCTTGAAGGTACCCCTAGGGTCCTCCTATACCTGGCCCGCTCCGCTGGACCTGACCAAAGCGAACAGGACCCACCTGACTTCCACTGCCATGTATGATGTTCTCAGGGGTGTCGTAAACCTCAGATTCCATGTGAACATTCTGATGCTTCTCGTGGTTCACTTGCACCCGGAGAATTCGAAAGGAAGAGCCACCAAGATCCAAGGCAATGAAATCTCCCTTTTCTGTTAAGAGACACAACAGGTATTGCATCAGATTCAGGGTTTGAGGGGGTCACACACTGGACCCCATTCTTTGCAGGGCCCAGGTCCTCTCTGCCTCCCCTTCTGCACTGCTCCTTCAACTGGAAAGCACTAACTTTTTAAACCCCATAAGAATGGGATTGCTGAATCATATGGTATTTTTATTTCTAGCTTTCCCACAGTGACTACCATTTTTCAGTTCCACCAATAGTGCGTAAGAGTTCCAACCTTCCTACAATACCTTTTGCTGTTTTGCTTCTTCTGATCAGATGACAGGGTTTCTCACTGTCGGTTTGATTTCCTATTTTCTAATGGCTAATGATTCCAAGCATCTTTTTGTGTGATAGATATCTGAATGTGTCTATTTTTGATCAAGTGGTTATGTCCTTTGCCTATTTTTTAAATTGGACTGCTTATCTTTTTGTTGTTGCAGATAAAAACTTTCTATGAATTTTAGAGATTAGTCTCTTATCTGATGTGCTTTTGTAAAAAACAAAATTTTCCAGTCTGTAGGTTCTCTTCTTACTCTCTTGGTGAAGTCTTCTGAAGACTACAATAAGTATTTATTTTTTATGAGGTCCCTGGTGTGGCACTGTAGGATAAGCCTTGGGCTGGTAACTGCAAGGTCAGGAGTTCAAACCCACCAGTCATTCTCAGAAACCGTATACACGGTCACTATGAGTTGGAACTGACTTGACCACACTTAACAACAAGAAGGCTTGGTGGTGTTGTGGTTAAGCACTCACTGCTAATCGAAAGGTTGACAGTTCCCAACAGCTCCTCAGGAGAAAGACGTGCTCGGTGATCTGCTCCCTTAACGGTTACAACCTAGAAAACCCTAAAGGGCAGTTCTACTCTGCCCCATGGAGATGAGAGGAGTCAAAGTCTACTTCATGACATTAAGATGTTTAATACTGAGAAAAAGTGCAAATTGCTACAGTTTGACAAACTAGACTTTTGTCCATGAATGCAGTGACTCAAAACTCCAACCAGAATGGAAGGATTCGTCAAATCAAGGACCAACTTTGTTTCCTCAGTGTACTGGCTTGATGTTGTTGTTGTTAAGTGCCACTGAGTCAGTTCCAACTCATAGCAACCCTGTATAGGGATTCCAAGGAACCGCTGGTGGGTTTGAACTTCCTACCTTGTGGTTTGCAGTCCAGTGCTTACACTATAGTGCTACCCCAGGATAGGGACAAGAAATTTAAGACACTGGCTATCAAAAAGGGGGTGGGGCTACAAAGGCACGGAGTAGCTGGTTTACAAGCATTCATGAGTGTGCTTAGTTGCAGAGTGAGGCAGGTAAGGTAGAATTCCCCACTGAAGAGTTTCCCTCTTTCTCAGAGGGATCTGGTGAAAGGGTGGGGGATGATGAAGATAGGATTTTATGACTCAATTGTGAATAATTGTTAGCAGGATTGTGACTGTCACAACTGTATAATTGTAGTTGTGTAAGGAGGTAGGTAGTTTTTCATTTCAGGAACGACCCCAGGACCATCAAGAAGGAAGAACATAAGTAGAGAGTGAGATCCTACCTAGAAATGTGGAGACAGCAGAGACAGTGGCTGTGTGCCTGCGAGCAGGAGGCTGGCTGGCAGAATGTGCCCTTTGAACATTTCAATGAATATATATTTTTGTTTTGTAAGTATACATCAAATATTGTTGCCTTGCTCATTTGTGTAATATACGATGTAAATGAGGAGTCACAGGTAGGAAGTGGGATCAATGTTGTTGCAGGGAGGGGCTCGTAATCATTGAGATGAAGTTTGTTGAAGGCAGAGCTGATGATCTTGTCTGTAAACCTTCAAGTCCAATTCACAATAAAGTTACAAACATTTTTTTAAAATCTACTTCATGGAACCCAATGACACAGGGGACACATAGGCCTTGAGTGACACAAACAGTTAAGCCCTTGGCTATTAACAGAAAGGTTGGAAGTCTGAACCTGCCTGGGTATCTTAGAAGAAAGGTCAGGTGATCTATTTCCAAGAGGTCAGATTTGCTCTAAAATATATGAGCAGGAACTGATTCAAAGGCTACTGGGTATTTGTTTGGTTTTGTTTTGTTTCAATGGGGGACAAGATGTGTTTGAGGAGAGATGCTAAGTTAGGACAGCCAGAGCAGTCTCTGCCTCAAAGAGACAGTTGTCCTCAGAATGAAGCCACACAAGGAAAACAGGGCTGACAGAAAGGATAAGAGACAGCCGAGCCCCTGTAGGCAAAAGCCAGCTGACCACGGGACTCCCCAGTGATGAGAACCTAAAATTTTCCTTTTGTGCTTACACTAACTTGACCATGACTCGAGGGTTCCCAAGTTCTGTATTCATTATTAGGGAATGAGCCCTCTAAATCCTCGTTCTGGCTTCCCAACGCAGAGCTGTGGTGTCCCGTCACCTCATGACAGAGAACCAGAGCTGTGGTCTGTGGACCAACCCACTTTTTGTGTCACCAGCCCCAGGAGGGATTCTACGATGGGCTCTTCCCCCTACAATATCACAGGAATGACAGAGAATTCTGAAACGTTCCTGATCCTTCCTCTAGGGGATGGACACACACTTAAGCCGGAGAGCTGGGGGTCCTCTGAGTAACCACATTGGTTAGGAGAGGTCCCCAACGAATCTTTACAACATCAGTAATTGCAGTGATGATAAAGATGATGACGATGAAGAAGACAACAATGGTTTAGCAACCAGAGCACTTTCGTTGATCTTTCTGACAGCTTTTCAAGGCAGAGATCATGCCCATTTTACAGATAAGGAAATGGAGGCTCAGCAAAGCAAAGTACTTCTCCAAAGTCAAACAGCTAGCCGGTAAGTGGCAAAGCCAGGGATTAATCCCATGTTTTCGACTTCTAATTATTTATTTTCCTTTAACTTCAAGGTCAGTCTGTTTCCTCAGCATTGGGTTACCATGCTTCTTGGGTTCCATCCGCTTCTTCACATCTTTGGCCATTCCTACTACTGGTGCCAACTACCTGTGACTTCTTCAGACATGTTCCATTTCCACTGAAGCCAGGAGAACCACTTTCGGGGAAAGCTCATTAAACAAACCATCTGAAGGGGCCCTGGCAACTGTCCACCCTCTTAGCGACAGCCATTATCACCAGCAAATAATGGAAAACAAACACAGGTACAGATGCTGCTCTTGAGCCCAGCTCAGCTCTGAAATACAGGGCAAACAATTCCTTCCCCTTCCCCTTTGCCCTGCTTACTACATGAATCTGGCACATGAGGTACAAAGCCATTCCCTCCCATCTGTAGAGCAGCTACTTGGTGAAGAATTTCACACCTTCCTCAAGAACCCAACTCTACTGTTGTTAACTCACCAAGTTTGTTCATTTGGAGCAACATTCAGAGAACCTAACAAGACAATCTGTTCAGATAAGGAGATGAGATAGCCCAAATGCTGTGAGAAAAGAAAAGAAAAAAATTCCTACCTTTGTTTGGAAAAAAGGAGCCCTGGTGGGTGTGGTTGAGTGTTTGGCAGCTAACAAAATCGCCTGCAACTGAAACCCACCAGCCACTCCATGAGAAAGCAATGCAGCAGTCTGCTTCCAGAGAGACCACAGCCCCGGAGACCCGACAGGGCAGTTCTCCTCTGTCCGACAGGGTCACTAAGTCGGCAATGACTCGATGGTCACAGACTTGGCTGGAAGGTTGTTGTTAAGTGCCGTCGAGTTGGTTCCGACCCATAGCGACCCAGAACACGGTTTCCGAGGCTGTAAATCTTTACAGGAGCAGAAAGCTTCATCTTTCTCCCATGGAGCAGCTGATAGTTTTGAACTGCCGACCTTGCGGTTCACAGCCCAATTCATAACCACTACGCTACCAGAGCTCCTTTGGCTGGAAAGTAGTAGTATGTATATCTCCAAAATAACAGACCCGTTGCAAATCATTGTTTTGTCTGAAACAAGATAATGGTTCCATTTAAGCTTCCAGCAAATATTTTTTGAACTTGGTCATTTGGATAAAGAGTATGTTCACAACCATTAAGCACAAAGAAATAGCCAACTCTACTCTCAAGATGTGTACCATCGAATCGGTACTTACAGCATCCTAAATGATGAATGAGAAGGTGAGCAAGAAGGGGAGGTTTCATGAATGACACACAAGAGTGAACCGGATTAGCTGTGAGAAGTGGGGCACTGAGGGGACACTGTCCAGTAGTAGGAATGAAAGCTCGAGGCCAAAGATTTGAAGAAGAGAATGGAGGGTAAATCAATGCTGCAGAAAGAGGCTGACCTTGAAGCTAAAGGACAATACAATAAAATAGAAGTTGAAAACACTGGATTAATCCCAGTCTCTGCCACTTACTAGCTAACTGTTTGACTTTCTAGAAACGCTTCTAAGTCACCAGTGTTAAAAGGCTTCAATGTCTTCCTTCTCTTATTTATTATTCATATCTGCCCTACTTCAACAAGGATTTGCAGCCACTAAAAGCACTTCAAGACAAAAAAGAAACCAAAAAGCCTACGTATAGATTATGTATGAGCAATTGAAGACAAACCACTGTCCCTAAGAAAATGGCCAAAGAAGGAACAACTAAATAATACAAACAAGCTGACACATTTCTGGAAAAATCCATAGAAAAAGGTCAAGCTCAGTTTCCAGGCTCAGAATCCAGTCTGCTAGGGCCCAGTGCACCAGGGAAGGGAGGCTAATTTCTCCCCGAGCCTTGGAAGTATAATCACCACTTAGCTTGCTTTGCTGGGGCGTTTCTCACCGCATGGAGCTCCGATGTGTCCTTCTGTCACTGACTAATAACTGCAGATGAAGTAGTGACTAACCTCTCAAATAGGGAACAGCGCCATGGACTCACTATGAAGGAGACGGGCATTCTGATGATTCCTCCTGGTTCTCGGAGGATACAGAAGCACAGGGGCAACGGGCACTGATGGATGGAGACCTGGGCATCACGAATCTGTGAGCAGCTTCAGGGATTATTCCATGGGCAGCAGCATGGGCCCAAGACACAAGAACTGAGCCCACCAGTGGAAGAGGCATTCAAAGGGTGATTAGGGTGGGAGCAGGGTAGGAATGCCAGCAGGTGCCTACTCCTCAGGTATGTCTGCCTTGGGCCAGCGACACAGCTCTGGGGGTCCCCATGTTGTTGTTTCCAAGGAGTATGTACTGTGAGTATGAACTGCCAATCTTGCAGTTCAAACTGACCTTGCAGTCTAGTGATTATCCTACAGCATAACACCAGGACTCCATGGCCCTGTGCCTCCCCGCCCCCCCCCCCCCCCACACACACACAAGGATCAGGTACTATCTGAGCTCTCCCAACAAAGCCAGAGCAGGTATGCTCTTGGGTTGGGAGCTGCTCACAGACATCTCCTTTCTCCTCTTCCTCTTCTCTCAGCTAGAAGCAAGACACAAACACATCTCTCCTATGGAATTCTGATAAATGTGGAAAGGCTCAAATGCTCCATCCAGGGCTTTAACCCAAATACGGCCAGATGGTGGACTAGGCAGACGCACTGAGAGCTGACTGGGAGAGGAGACAGCTAGGTGGGCTATTGGCTAGGCTGGTGTGACTCAGCCATCTTGAGCTTTTCTGCCTGCTGTGGATGGACACAGTGGCCTAGAGGCACAAGATATAAACACAAATACAAGGACACCACAATGTCTTGGAGACAAGAGGCAATTTCAGCGTAAACATAGAAACAAGGCAAAGTGCCTTTAAGAAATGAAGGAAATACCAGAGTAAGAAAACATGATACCAGAAATGGTACTGACACTACGTTATATGGAATTTGAAAACATGATGCTTATGTACCGTTAACAGATTGAGAGAATGGTCAAGAAAGCTGCAGACAAAAATCAAGAAAAACATAGACAAAATTTCAGAAGATTTCAGGAAAACACTACAAGAACAAACCAATAAAATAACTGAACACGTTGGAAACCATACAAAAACATTAAATAGAAATCCAGAAGATTAATACAAAAATTTCAGAAAGAGATAATATGTTGAAAAGGCTAAAAATAAGAAGTAAAACTGAATCAATGGTAGGCTGAATTAGTGACTCTGAAGACAAATCTCTCAATTCTAACCTTCTATAGACACAATAAGAAAACAATGACACACACACACACAAATTTGAAGAAAGCCTAAGAATTATGTGAGACATCAAGAGGAGTAACTTATATGTGATCAAAATTCCAGAATAGGAATAGACCAAAAAAAAAGTCAAACAAACCAGAAAACTGTTAAAGAGTTGTTGGAGGAAAACTTCTCTAACATCATGAAAGATGAGAAGATATGTATTCCAAAAGCTGAACTAAGTCCAGGCAGGACAGATCCCAAAAGAAAATTACCAAAACATAATTAAACTCTCCAAAACCAAAGGCAAGGAAAAAGAATTCTGAAAGCAGCTAGGGAAAAACAGAAAGTTTCATATAAAGGAAGAACAAATAAGACTAAGTTCTGATTTCTTAGCAGAAACCATGAAGGCAAGAAGACAGTGGGATGACATATATAAAACTGAAAGAAAAAAACAGCCAAGCAACAACCAACCAGCAAAAGTGTCCATCAAATATGATGGCAAAATCAGGACATTTCCAAATAAACAGAAATTGAAAGAATTTTGTTTTAAAAATCAAAACAATAACTTTACAAAAAATACTACAGGAAGTTCTTTGGACAGAGAACCAACAATCTGAGACTAACATACATGACAATATCACCCAGAACTCCAAGTAGATATGATGGTGGCAGTAGTGGTGGTGTGCTGTGGAGTCAGTTCTGATTCATAGTGAAACTGCACAGGGTTTCTGTAAATCTTTATGGAAGCAGAAAGCCTCATCTTTCTCCCACAGAACGGCTGGTAGTTTCAAACTGCTGGCTTTGAGGTTAGCAGCCTGACTTGTAACCATTATGCAAATTATCTAAAGTTAAACAAGGGGAATGTCAGGGCTCTGTAGGATAAACACTAAACCACTAATCACAAGGTCGGTGGTTCAAGCACACCAACTATCTGTTCCTGCAAAGATTTACAGCCTCAAAACCCTATACAAGGCTGTTGTGGGTTGGAACCCACTCAGCACATAAATAACAACAACAAAGTAAAACAAACCTACAAGAATGGAAACAGGGAACCAAAGATATCAATTTGTAACAACAACAACAACAAATTACAAAATAAAAAGAGGCAATTGGGTAGTTACAGAACAATCCAATTTAGAGGAAATCAAGTAGATCTCAAGAAAAATATATAATTACTTAATAAACCTAACTGTAACCCTAAAACTACACCAATCCCTACTCCTAGCCCTAGCCCAAACCCTACCTAAAAATTAAAAAAATTTTAAAAAGACAAAGAACAATGCAGGGATCTATATGGTTATGAATTGGCTGTGAACCTCAAGGTCAGCAGTTCGAAACTACCAGCTGTTCCACGGGAGAACTATAAGGCTTTCTGCTCCCGTAAAGATTTCCAGCCTCAGAAACCCTGTACAGGGTCGCTATGAGTCGGAAACGACTCCACAGCACATAACAACAACAACATGTTAGTATTAGAAAAAGTAGACTTCAGAGCAAGGAATGTTACCAGAGATAAAGAGAAACATTTTATAATGATGAAAGGGTCAAAAAGGCCCGGCTTCCCTACTCTACCAGCCAGAGGCACCTGAACCACACCCAGCACATCCCACAGTCTGGTCACACTGATGGCCAGAGTCTCTCTGGCAGTCACTGAAAAACTAAACTGCTGGTAACACCAAGACCTCAAGGAACACAAAAGAAGGAAGATATTTAAGTAGGCAAAGAAACTTCAGAGATAAAAATGTCAAGGTGAAGCTGTATGCAGGAAGGAAGCCCCACCTGTGGCCACTAATGACAAAGTAAACAGGGCTTGCCTATCAACAGCCTCTGAATCACCACCTTGGCTCCGACAGGCTTCTGACGACTGGCTGCAGGTAGACCAGGGCTCTCCCGCTGCAGCCAGTCAGCTCCAGCACACTGTGTACTTGGCTGGCTTTTGTGACCATCAGCTGCAACAGGTATAGTTTTCCTGGAGTCTGTTTTGCAAGCTGCATACGAGATGCCTAAATCACGGCTTTAAATCACTGTAAGAGCCACCAGAGCAGGGAAGAAATACAGGGAGTCTGAAAGGGTCATACTCAGAAGGCTTGAACTCACAACCCCAAGAGAGATTTACTTCCCTTTCTCTTGATCTCGCTCCTGTATTTTATGCGGACCAGACCACAGAACACAGCTCTGAATGGGATTCTGAGCATGACAAACCATGCAGGTACAGCTCACACACCTGCAAACTCCTAAGAGCAGGGCAGCCAGGTACAACAGCTGCACCCTCTACTCTGCACAAGGGCTGATGCCTCTCAGGGGAGAAGGATCAACAGCCCTCGAGGAACACCCGCCCTGCACTGTGGAGCAGACACCAGGGGTACAACCCAGAGGATACGTGTCGTTCCAATTCCCCCTCTCCTTGTCATTGGGGGGCTACCTTGATTCTGCATGTATGGAGTTTGTCCAAATGGGGATTTAAAGCTCACCTCTGAATCTGAGATCCATCTGGGCTCAAGGATTGCTACTCATCTGGAGCACTGAAGGGAGGCTTAGGTGCCTGATGGAGTTTCTCCTAAAATGAGCCCTTTGGAGCTCTTCATGTTCTAAAGACATCAGAGCAACTCACACAGCATCAACAAAACCCCTGAACTCTTTCTGAGCCACTAGACAGCCAATGAGGGCAGGTCAACCATGGCTTCCCCAGTGCCTGGCACATGGCAGGTGCTCAATAGACATTGGATGGATGGATGGATGGATGGATGGATGGATAGATGGATGGGTGGA